TTAAAGGTTAAGTACTAAATCTATATATATAAAACTAAAAGGTGACTGACTGACATAGTGATCTATCAACGCACAGCCCAAACCACTGGACGGATCGGGCTGAAATTTGGCACGCAGGTAGATGTTAAGACGTAGGCATCCGCTAAGAAAGGATTTTGATCAATTCTACCACTAGCCTATCTAGTTTATTTTATAATTTCATAAATTATCAAAATTGTCGTTAAAAATATTCAACATATTCTAATTTACTTCACCACTTATAATAGCATCTTTACATTTAGAATCAACCTACACTCGGCATCTGGTTCATTTAAACCGACCTTACAACAAAAAATAAAAAACTAATAAACTGATCTACAAAGACCCGGTAACACATGTTACCGAACCGTTGGGCCGGACAGGTGTCTCACCTCGCTGCGCACGCGCAAACATTTCCGTCGCCAAGAATCTTCGGCGACGGTTGCCGGAAGCGCACGAGTATGGTTTAGTATGGTCACATCACAGTTCCTTGTATTGCCGCATTGCAGCCGGCTCCCGTTACCGCAGCCCCCGTTATGACCGCCTGCCGGTCTGCGCGCGCGCCGCTCCGCTACGCACTGGAGCTAGGGTTGCCGCGAGTACTACGATATTATCTCTTATCTATTAGACAAGTCCGTCCGTCTGTCTGTGGTGCTGTTTCAGCGGCCAAACCGTAAGAGATAGATAAAGAGAATATTTAAGTTATAAGTTAAGAATAGTCTGATAAGACTACAAACCGGATTTGAGTAACGTAGCACTTCCGGTTTTCGAGAAATCAGGTTTTGGTGAACATTTGGTTCACTGGTGTTCACTTAGTGTTCTACTATCCTTCTAATATGAAAAAGACATTGACTTATTCTTGACAAGTCCAGTGACAATCAGAAGAACGATAGGGTCGAATTATTTTAAATAGGCATAAATAAGTAAGTGGGTATGCTCAATATTCAAACTGGCGTCTGTTTCTTTTTTAAAGATAGTATAATTGTTAACTTTAATAAATATATTATGATATGAGTAAGCATATTATATTAGGATGAAAGATTGTTAGATAGTTATAGGCATGTTTAACATGTGGAGGTTTTTAATTGGCGTTTAGAAATTGTTTTTTAAGCTTAAATTTAAATTAAATTTAGCTGTAAACCTTCCTAAAATAAAATAAATAAATAAAAATATTATAAATGTGAAAGTACGTATGTGTGAAACTCAATCACGCAAAACGGCTGCACGGATTTGGATGGAATTTGGCACGGATATAGTTTACTACCGGAATTAAGACGGATACATTTTTATTCCGAAAAACTGAGGTTCCTGACAGATTCTAAAAAAACTGAAGTCATCGCGGTGGTAGTCGCGGCCGCCCGCTTCGTTTAAAAGCATACATTTTCGAAAGTAACTCATAAAAACTACGACTTTTATCCGTGTGTTTAAACATAATTAATATTACGCACTATGAAAACAATTAAAATTATTAAATATTTTATATGTTCTATATTTTATATTCCAACTAGCGATCCCAAAAGATGTCGTCCAATCCATCATCCATCCATCGTTAAAAATAAAAATAAAATCCTAAATGCGAATGCAGCAGCGCAGTTTCACCTATTGGGCGAAGTTGCAATTTAAGTTTTGTGAAATTAACTTTTTATTCATAGCGAGGTAGGCAAATGACTCTAGCCCACCTGATGTTAAGTGGTGATAAAGTCCAAACGCGAAGATAGCTGGTACAGCAGTTATAAACTGCTACACCAACCATCCTCACCTTGTCGGCATGCAAAAATGCTTCTTCACGTCTCTCTTAAAGGACCCCAGATTATAGGAAGCAGGGAACACGTGCGCGGGCAAAGAATTCCACTTACGAATAGTACGACAAAGAAATGAGTCACCAAATTTCTTTATCTAATTTTCTGCGCAACTTTCTCGATTTAATTACCCTAAGAACCGTCCAAAAAGTATAACAAAACTTATAAAAAAATCGGTTAAATCTTTTCAAATTATAGTGTATGTGACCAATGGAAATAGGGGCAATATCTACTAGTTATAAATATGATTGCCCAGTGACAACCCTTGTATCCATCGACCGTTCAACATTACTTATAGATTCCACTTGTAGATCATCTCGTGTGGCTTTATGGATTATGCTCTTGCACTTACTTTAAGAGTGTTTAATGAGGAAGTTTATTCATAAAATAAAAATAAAAGATTTAGCAAACGTGAACACAAAACGGAGAATGGTCGATGAGATGATATATTTTGATGATATAGTTTGGTAAGAGGGCTAGCGAGCTTAACTTTTTTACTTGGCGCTGCCTTGCAGCTTAAGAATGGCTAGAAGAATTTCGACGCGGTCCGTGAGGGCCGCGGTAGCATAAATGGTCAGTGCATTCGCCCGGATTGCGAAGGGTGCGGGTTCGAGTCCCGTCTGCTGCCTGGTCCACGTGGAATTTTTTCTAGTTATATTTTCTTTAGATTTAAACATCAAGCAGTTACATGCTTTAAAATAATAAAATTTACTTGTTTAAATTCATCTATCCTATTTTCACCCACCTTAAAGGTTTCTAGGAAAAATCTATCTTTTAACATTTCCCGGGACTCAAACTACATTTATACCAAAACGGCATGAAGAAATAACATACAGACAGACGCACTTTCGCATCTATAATATTAGTATAGACCGATAAAATATAGAGTTGTAAGTTGGAGGTTTATTGAAGTTATACTTCTTTAAGCGCGTTATGAAAAAATGATGAGAGTGAAATTTTTAGATGCGCGGGCATCACTGTAACCCAAAAGTAACAGCATGAAGTTGGCCGCGGGCGCGTTATGAAAAAATCATGTGAGTGAAATTTCGAGATGCGCGCGCATCACTGTAACACAATAGTAACACCATGAAGTTGGCCGCGGGAGCGTTATGAATGTAAGTGTAACCACTTAGTGGTTAATAATCCACCATTATTAGACATCTGTTCGAAAGGTACTTTGAACGATCCACGGAGCACCATAAGATGATCGCGTTGTCAAAAACAATGTTGGCACGCTCGTCGCCTCTGATCACTGTTTTCATATTTATAATATTTATCCACATGTTTCTAGTTTCTATATAGACACAACGTGTTTTAGTTACTTACAAGTGCTAATTACATATTATGGACTAATAACTTAAATTCAGTAGTGATTTTAATTGAATATTTTGAATATTTATTTAATTTTTCAAATTAAAACTGAACTTAATTGACTGTGTTAACTATCCTTTTCCAGTCCTTTTATTATTTTATTTTAATTATTAATTATTTGCATGCAATTAAAAAATATTTTTAATGATGCTAAAGAAGTATAACTTCTCACGCGCGTACATAAGTTACACGCATCCATTTTTTTTAAATTTTCGTTTTCTTTCCCAAATATTTTAATAGAAAACTTTAATAAATATGAAGTCGCTAGATTCGTTTTCAAGTTATGGCGTAACCAGGGAAAATAGGGTTTTATTGTAATCTTATATATAAAATTCTCGAGACACGATGTTAGTTACCATACTCCTTCGGAACGGCCTGACCGATTTTTATGAAATTTTATATGCATATTCAGAGGGTCTGAGAATCGGCTACTATCTATTTTTCATATCCTTAATTGACAATGGTTGTTCTGACGACGTAGCCTGTAAAGACTACGAAACGTCAATAAATAAATAAAGTTTTCGTGCATCAACCCGTAAAAACTAGTTTTATTTAATGGTTGTCCACCTGTAACGTAGTGTTCTGAAACCTACAATGCGGCTTCGCGCCAAAATTCAAACTATTGGGTATTGTAACGTATTGTTCTCATATGGGTTAGGAGGAATGTTATCCCAGGAAATTGATAGAACACTACGTTACACACCCCTAAAAATTTTTTGAACATTTTTTTTAATTTGCTCTTAAAAATACATATAATGCGATTCAACTAAGAATAGGACCGACGGGGCGCCATATTCTGATGTCGCAGCTGTCAATTCAAACCAAATAGGTAGAGTGAGCAAAAAAAGTTTGATTCAATAAAACTTATTTACTAAGATTAAGTGTGAAAAAACATCAGATTTTTTTAATAACATTTAATTACTCATATTGAGAGAAAAAACCCACCGATTTTTAATAATATTATTTTATTAAGACTCTGAGAAAAAACATTAATCAGAATCTAACTCTTCTATTCCGCTCATTTCCTGCATCCTTTATGTAAACGAAAGTTTGAAATCGAGTTTCTGAACGCAACTTAAAGTGACATTTGGTTGACGATTTAGGTTATCAACCATTCATGGCCAAAGCTCAATAAGTGTAAAAAAAATATTAACCGATATTAATTATCAATATTTGTTATTGTTTCTTTACAAATGTTTGGTTTTTATTCTTGAATTAGCGGAGTGCTAAAAACGGGTTCCAAGATATTTTTTTGCAAGCCGTACTTTTCAAGCGACATTTGACAGATAGAGGTCATTGGCTTTCCTATTCTTATTTGAATCGCATTATACATCCCTAAATTTTCTCTTCTACCACCTGCCCCTATTTTTATGGCGGTACGAAGTTCGCTGGGTCAGCTAGTCTTTATATATATAATTCTTCTGTGAGTGTGTATGTCACTGAACTTCTCTTACACGACTGGACCGATTTTGATGAAATTTTTGGTGTGTGTTCAAGGGGATCTGAGAATGGTTTAGATTCACAATTTTGTCCGCTGGACAACCCCTATTTTTTTAGGGCGGTACGAAGTTCGCTGGGTCAGCTAGTATTATATAAGATAGATAATTATAATGAAGACGATCATTAGCGTGACCAAGGCACTTTAAACGCAATCCGGTGGATGCGTTCTTTGGGCGAGTATCTAATGTTGTCAGTTGACCTCAAGCCGACATGCATAGGTATTCTGTAAGATGCAATCTCACTTACGATGTCATTAATTCGGTTTTCTGACAAATGTCAAATATCTAATACTGTTCTGCTGTTTCGATAGATATAGCGACATTTTACCGTGTACTGGCGTAATGTATATCAAACTGATATCTTGATGGCCAGCTACCGAAATCGGAAGTCAGATTTTATTTTACAAAATCACCCTATTGATCAATGGTCACTGTCGTTAGTAGCATTCGGTTTTCTACGGCGTCATAATATCCAATGTAACTTATAAAAGTTATTAAGTAACTCCGTAAAGTAGGAAGAAAGCTATCTATCATGTTAGAGTATATTATAAATTTAACTGACAAACCGCTTTAACATCGAAAGCTGACTTTCGACATAATCATGGCCGTCCATCCTGCTCTAATTAGGATAGTTTTAAGACCGTAGAGTGGGAATATAACATGACGAAGTGACGCCCTAATAGTATGCCCTCAATTTCAGTTATTTAGTAAGTACATCGCATTGTTGGGTCAGATTCAACAATTATTATATACAGAAACAACATTAATGGGCTTGAATAGATTCTCTACAATGTAGTATAATACAATTTACATACTATGATGAACTATTGTTCGCTATGCAAATCAAAACATTCCCACGAAAGAAAACAAGAAATCAAAGAAATTGTATTGAAGAATTACGTAATAAATACTATCAAAGGGAGAGTTCGCTCATTACTGCAGATTCAATGTTATTGTGTACATGTTTTATAATGCAACCTGTATTTTATTTGATTTCACTATTGCATCAAATACTTTTTTATAAGTTTTTAGTTGAAACTACAGCCTTAAGGCAACACTAGCATGAAATTTACAACTAGCAACAGTCAAGGCCAAAACATAAGTAAACTTATTAAAATTATTGGGCCGCCCCATCGCTGCGTCTTTCTCACACATATCTCCCCAAAAAGTCAAAAACAAATAAAACGAAGAAACGATAAGAAAACGGTGCTTTTTAATTTATTCTTTAACCTTTGCTGTAGCGATGTTGCTGTAAATAGTTTTTAAGAAGCCAAGGAAAAAGTGGTAGTTCACATTCTGTTACGTATTTTATGAATTCTTATATATATGTACTTTCAAGTGTCGCGTAAAATATTCACCTGAAAATATAGGCTGTCATGGACCAGTGACGATATTAGAGGTTGTCATCAAAACGCCAAAGGAAAAGTTATGCCTGCTCTTGAATATCGTAATATTGAGTAAAGCCACCCCGTGTATACACACACACTCACCTGCGCGTGCTGCAGCGTGTACTCGGCGATGAGCGCGTGCGCGTGGTGCGCGAGCGGCACGTGCAGCGCGAGCGGCGCGTCCCGCCCGCCCGCGCCCGTCAGCTGCAGCGTGTGCGGCGCGCCTGTCGACGCTCGCAGACCCGCCAATGGAAACGAGCGACGCACTTGCAGACCCCCGCCGCCTGTTCAAACATCATTTTATTTATTTATAGGAAGAGCTATTCGGGCCATATACATATTAAGACTAAGGGTTTGCTTTAGGAATAAGTCTAAATAAATTAACATTGGCGGGACGGTTCATTTTTTTTATATTTTTGTAGATAGGTCCGACAAATGACTCCACCCCACCTGATGTTAAGTAAGGTGAAGTCCAGACGCGAACGTAGCTGATACAGCAGTTCTACCTGCCACACCAGCCATCCTCACCCTACCGGCCTGCATGTTGCTTCTTCACGCCTCTTTTAAAGGATCCCAGGTTGTTAGAGGGAGGGAACACGTGAGCAGGCAGAGCATTTCATTTACGGATAGTGCAACAAAGAAATGAGTCACCAAATTTCTTTGTACGCGTTGGAATTGTGGTCACAGTTAGACGGTGACAACGTAGGCCAGCGCGCGTGGTCCTCTGAAGGAAAGGGGAAGGTGGAATAAAAGAGAATAACTCCTCAGAACACTCGCCGTGGTACAGACGATAGAACGCGCTTAGCGACGCCACGTCACGATGTAATTGTAGAGGCTCGAGGTGTTTATGCACCTTTTCATCGTCTATGATGCGGATCGCGCGCCGCTGTAACCTATCCAAAGCATCGAGCAAGTACTTGGCGGAGCCATCCCAGAGGTGCGAGAAATATTCCACGCAGGACCGCACTTGCGTTTTGTACAACAAGCAGATTTGATCGGGCGTGTAAAAACGCTGCATCTTGTTCAGGACTCCGAATTTACATGAAGCTGTTTTGATCACGGTTTGGATGTAGTCCTTTGGATTCAGGTCTGAGTGAACTTCCATACCGAGCCTGGTAATGTTGCTCCAGTGTTGTGCTCTGAAGACTGGGAAAGGGAGAAAGGAATGGCGATGTTTTTGCCGTGAAAGCGCAAGCCTGAGTTTTCTTGGCATTGAACTCAACCAAGTTCCTGGTACCCCATTCGGAAATGTGGTCCAAAGCCTGATTGAGTTCAATGACAAGATTCTCCCATTTCTCCTTGGTTACCGCCTGTCCAGCCGCTGCTTGTCCGAGATACCCCGCATGCACTGTACTATCGTCTGCATAGCAATGAATATTCCCAAGAGGTATTAAGTCATTGATATGCAGCAGAAAGAGAGTGGGGGATAGGGCGGAGCCCTGGGGAACGCCGGCATTCACTGTCATGTACCGCGAACTGCTACCATCCGTAAGGACACGAATTCTACGCTCATGCTGGAAGTCAGCTACCCAAGAATAGAACTGGGCCGGCAGACCGTATGCCGGAAGCTTGGAGAGGCTTTTGTACCAGACCCTGTCGAACGCCTTGGCAATGTCAAGGCTGATAGCCAATGACTCGCCACGCTTGTCGATAGCATCACCCCAGATATGAGTCAAGTACGCTAGAAGATCACCCGTCGATCATTTCGGTCTAAAACCATATTGACGATCATTAATCAGAGAGTGATCCTCTAGGTAGCGGGTCAGATGGTTGTTAAGGACCTTTTCTAGAACTTTACATAAAACTGAGGTGACTGCTATTGGCCGGTAGTTTGCCGGGTCTGAGCGATCCCCTTTTTTGGACACCGGTTGCACTTTAGTATCTCTCCAAGTCTCCGGCACACGCCCCAAAGAATACGAGCATTGGTACAAGTGCGTGAGCACGGGAGACAACTCCGCACATTTTTTCAGTACCACTGCTGGGACGCCATCAGATCCACTAGCTTTCCGGACGTTGAGTGATTGCAATTTGGCATGAACCCCACGCTGCCTGATTTTAATATCAGGCATCGTTGTGCCACAATGAGGTAATGATGGTGGCAGTGCATTGCAATTATCGATTCGGGAGCTAACCGCAAAGAGTTTTGCCAGTGAATCGGCTTTCTCCTGCGGCTTATAAGCTAGTGTTCTGTCTGAGCATCTCAGAGATGGCAGCGAGGGCTGGCAAGTTCTTTTGCACGGCCTTGGTCAAGCGCCAGTAGCTGCGGAAGCCCGTAGGATACGTTAGGAGTTCGTGACCAACGCGTGCAACGCGCTGACCATCCGCTCTGATGTTAGCCTTCTTACAGGCCTTGGAAGCAATATTGTAGACTGCTATTAGTGAATCGACCCCGGGATCCTTTAGAGCGCAGCCACTGATCCAAGCACGATATGCCGCTTGCTTACGCGAAGCAGCTTCAGCACAGTCGTGATTGAACCAGAGGTTACGTGTGCCCTTACTGATGAGATTGGAATGAGGGATATAGTACTCTATTATCAAATATCTAATTGAATACAGTGCGCCCCAAGATCTTGTGGCGCGTGACTGAAATCCGAACTAATTTTAAGAAGTTACAAATGAGCCTTTTGTTTATAGAGGAAGCTGTAAATGAGCAGTTTATATTTCCTATTACTCTTTCGGAGTTATTGTTAATTACAACGTTCCTTTTAGTGAGGTAATTTAACGTACTCATTTCACCACATATTCAACAGCAGCACCCTCCAGTTCTGCTAGATCAAAAATTCGATTCAGCGCTAAAATTATATAAAAGGCGCTAGATTTCAAGAAAAACGCGCTTTTAAAAAGCGCTAGATTACGCGCTAAATTAATATCAGTTTTTTTTATTAAATAAAAAATAGATAAAAATCAACTAAAATGTCAAAATAAATGTATTTAATCTAAATTCAAAAATAATGTTCCATAGCTTAAATAGGGCCAGCTTCATTCTGGCCATTCATGTATATTTTGTCTTACTATATTTTTCATATTTCCCAATCCTAATCTGTCGCAGAATTTCTAACCACATAATTTATTTTTAACCTCCCCCCAATATTTCAACATGAATAAATTAAATCAAAACCATGGACTAATGGCAGAAATATTACTACTTATCCGTCGTGTTGTGTTGTGACGCATCAGAGATATATCGGTTTCATACATTTAGTAGTACGGTTAAAGTGAGAACGGTTTCGACACATCGCGACACACAAGTATAGTTCTAACCGTACCAATATATGAAATAAATATAAGAAACCGATACCTCTCTGACGTTTCACAACACAATGCGAGAGATAAGTGTAGTTCTGCCATAAAAAAAAAATGGGTGCGTGTACTTATGTAGGCGCGTGAGAAGTTATCCTTCTTTCGCATCGTTTAAAATTAGTATTTAATTGTAAATAATTAATTACAATAAATTAATAAAAAGTCTGGAAAAGGACACAGTCAATAAAGTTCAGTTTTAATTAGAAAAAATAAATAAATAACCAAAATTTTCAATTAAAATCGCTACTGAATATAATTTATTAGAACATATGTGATTTGCACTTGTATGAAACTCAAACACGTATTCAAATATATATATATACAAACTAGAAACATGTGGATAAATATTATAAATATGAATACCTATAACTGTTACTTTATTACAAAAAATAAAGATGTGGTTTTTGGTTCTACTACACCAATGGTCAAGAGATGGCGCTTTAGTCTCCTGAATCGCGCTTTGGTTCCGTTGTTCCAGATTAATAAATACTTTTGATAGGCCTTCACAATGCAGTCGTTAGCACCCACTTAATAGAGATTCTATTTCTATTTTGTTGGTAGATTTTCTTAATGTGCGGTAAACACAAAAGTAAAACAGCATGAAGTTAAAATCCTGTTAAAATTTTGTGTTACAGTGATGCGCGCGCATCTTAAAATTTCACTCTCATCATTTTTTCATAACGCGCCTAAAGAAGTATAACTTCAATAATAATAGAGGGGCTTCCCGAGGCTATAAATTATCCGATAGGCGCAAAATTTAGAAATAGGCGCTAACCACATCGGAAAAGCGCTAGATTTAGCGCCCAATACGCTAAAATGGGAGCACTGGCACCCTCCTGTCAATGTCATTTAGATATGTGCCACAAGAACTTAGTCACTCTGTGCACATTTTCATCCTAAAGTCAAGATATTTGTGAGATCGACTGACCTTTGACTCCAATAGTGACTGCGTTATGCGAAACGGCGAGTACAGCATTCTCCCCTGGTGGCAGTCTCGCGTTAAACAGCCTGGCGAAGTAGAAGGGCCAGGTGCGGGCCAACTCGACGGCCTGGCGCTTGGTGTGGGCCCGCGCGGGGCCGGACTGGGACCGCAGCCAGGCTTGGCCCGCGCGCCGCTCCACCGGGCTGATGCGGAGCGAAGCTTGGTTCGAGTTTATGTCGTGTACTATCTGTTGATAAACAGTTAATGGTTATGTCACAAACGCTCTCGAAACAGAACCGCGAAAGTGCTAGAGCACCGCGGGTCGCGATAGAGGTCGAGTAATGCGGCTCATTCTAAAATAAGCCTTATGCAGTGCGGCGTAAGGGAGAAAGTGCAACGACATCTGCACTTGTTTACAAGTTATGCGCGTTACCTATAAGTAAGTTAGGTATAAGTAGGTACTTTGTACTCGCGGGTGCTAGTTAATTCTCAATTTAACAGGTACTTTCTAGAATGCGTCGATCGGCGTATATAAGCGCGATTGGCGCCGCGCAGAGACAGTTTAGTTTCAACAGCGATTTCGGAGCGAATCCAAAGGCGATCAAAGTGCAACAAAAGTGTTCAAGTGCGATTGTTTAGAGACTTGTACAGTGAAATACAGTGTTTAGTGTATGTTTTGTAATTAACATTGTGTGGTTATTGTGTGAACTGTGTGGTGAATAAAGAGCTGTCAAGCGTGAACTGGCATATAATTTCGAACCCCATTCCGACACGTAACAGTTAGTATCAGATAAATGAAAAAAATATAAAAAGAAATATCGGGCACAACAACGTCATCGAGCTGCTGCTGAGCCGATGGCGCAATGGGTAAGGCTTTCGGTCTGCGATTGTGGAAGTTAAGTAAATAGACGGGTGACACAAAATTTATTATCTCGAGCTGGCGCTTTTGACTCGCTCAATGAGACATTTATTAATATGCGCATTTTATTTCTGCACCAATTACTTCACGGCAATATTATTGCGCAAGACCTTCTTGCTGAAATTAAGTTAAAGGTTCCCAGAAAAATCCCCCGCCAACCCATCAAATCATTCGTTAACTGTCCCTTTAAAAAAAAAATAGTTTCACCGTATAATAGAATTAAAGATGCATACAATGAGATATGCGATGATGTTGACATCTTTCATGCTCCACTCAAAGCCCTCAAAAATCATCTGTATGGTAACGTTCAAACCGAACAGTAATTTGTTACTGTTAAAAGTATAAATAAGTACCTACCTACATATAGTCAATATTGTTGTAAATGTCACGCGGTGGGGTTGCTCTTGGATATGTCCAAAGCCTATGACAGAGTTGATCACGAAGTGTTGCTGTCAAAGCTGCATGGAGTTGGTATACGTGGAGATGCCCATAATTGGTATCGTTCATATTTGCATAATAGACAACAATTCGTTCAAATTGAAAATGTAGATAATGAAACCGGGGAAACTAAATTTATTAAATCAGAAACAGTAACCTAGAATCACTCAATCCCCCAGGGTAGTGTTTTGGGTTGTGTTTTGTTCCTGATATATATTAACGACTTAGCAAAAACAACGAACACAGAATGTATTCTTTTTGCTGATGATGTCTCAGTCCTTTTCAAATGTCCCAAAAACTTTAACTGTAATCCAATTATAGATTCCACACTGGCAACATTACAAAAATGGCTCAACTTGCATAATTTAGAACTAAACAAAAATAAAACTAAACTCATTCAATTTCATCCATACCAAAAGCAACCACTTGATTTAAACAAGGTTAGGATTTCCCAAAATATTGAAGAAGTAACCGATGTTCAATTGTTAGGCATAACCATCGACTCACATCTGAACTGGAAACCTCATATAGATAAAATAAGGAAAAAGGTTTCACAATTTATTTTCGCGCTTAGCGTTCTTAAGGTCAATACGAATGCGAAATGCGCCTTGTCTGCTTACTACGCATATACATACGCATGGTTGCGCTATGGAATAATATTATGGGGGCATAGTACGGACGTTCACGACCTTATTATCCTTCAAAAAAAGTGTCTCCGTATTATCGTCAATATCAGACAGCAAGTAAGTTGTAAACCACATTTCATTAAAGAGAAATTGTTAACCCTTCCTTCACTGTATATAATGGAAATAGCATTGTTTCTTCGCAAACAACCAACATATTTTACATTCAATAAAAATCCGCGATATAAATTTGATTTAGTATTACCAGTGCCAAAACTAGAAATGTTCAAAAAAAGTCCTCTATACCGTTCAATTCAAATATATAATAAAATTCCGATAGAAATTAAATGAGAAAGCAACATAAATACATTTAAAATGAAACTCAAACAACATCTAATCAAGAAAGCATACTATTCGGTAAATGAATTTATGAATGATAAGTGAAACTGTCACGGAAAGCTCACTAACTTGTTTGATATTGAAACTGTTTAGTAGTTGTGGTGATATAGTTATTGTACTTGCAACACCCTGACAGGGTCATGTACCATGCCAAAATAATTTTAAGATCCTGTATATACTGTACATGTGCAATTAATTAAATAAATAAATACATGTTTGCAATAGCAATACACACGGTTGACTACTACCTGCATCTTTAATCTTTATTGAAATTTGTGAAATTATCGATGGTGTGTCAAATAAATAAATAAATAAATGTCCCCTAGCACCAACACAGTGTTAATAAGCTGATGATGATGATGATGATGACAACGTCTGACGGGTCTGCTAGTTTTATGATAAATTTTCAACATACAGATTACTCATTCCCTTGCATAAACTACGATGACTATCTACTCGCCTGTGCATATAGCAGGTCCAGTATATCGGGTTCGTTGTACGTCTCTAGAGGCGTGAACAGTTCCTTGCGCACGCGCAGCTTCCACGGCACGCGGCTGTATGTCACGAACGTGCGGTCCGACGGTAGCAACGCCGCCGGCGCTGGCGCGTCACCTGACGAACAAACATACAGTCAAAACATTGTAGAATGTAATAAAGTATTGAATATTATGTTATTTTTTCTTTTTTTTGAGGATTTAATTTTTGTAAAATTTGTTTTAATGGGTATAAAAGTAATTCCCAGATAGATTGTAACAGAGTATAGAGCAAATATATGTGTAAATGAGGTTCATCACCCTTCATTCAATACGGACGGTAAAATAGTGAGTGACCATAGAAAAAGAATTAAATTAATAAATAAAATATAATATTTGTGCACGAAAAATTGTATGAAATAATAGCTATAAATGTTGTTTTATAATATGATTTTATGAACTAAATAGACTTAATTACGAAATGAGTTTTTTTTGCTCAGAAATGAAAAACAACATTTATAGCTATTATTTCGTACAATTTTTTGACGGATTGACGGATGTCAAAACCATATCTTTTTCTATGGTCACTCACTTTTTTACCGTCCGTATTGAATGAAGGATGATGAACCTCATTTACATATGTTTCTTACATAAATAAACAGTGATTGTAACAAATAAATATGCTCGCTATATTATAGAAAATTAGTGACATTGCTTTAAATAAAAAAGTAGTGAAATATTTACGAACTCACCTTCTATATGTTCAGTTTTATCAGTGACGTGGGTAGACACAGAGTATCTTCTCTCGGCCTCCATTTTCCTAGTCCTCTCCTTCTGCACCATATGAGTCTTGAAGGTGGCTCGTTCTACTTTCTTGGAGGCGTCGACGCCCTCCGGGGGGAAGACAACGTCCGAGCGGGGGCTATCCCGGGCTCGACCCACTAGCATGTCTCTCGAATTCTTCCTGCCATCAAAACGCTCGAATTCGTCGTAAAACGGCGACCGTTTGCGATCGAATGTATCCTCCACACCGTTCTCCTCTCTGCGCTCGGCTCTCGGATGGATCTCGTAAATCTCGGAAGCATCGCGGCCGGAGAAGTCGTCCCTATCGGGGCGGACGGGGCCATCGACACCAGATTCCGAGTCCCATTCGTCGCGAGCGCGTCGCCTTCCATCTTCGTCGTAGGAGGCGATATCGGCGTCGTTTCCCCAGTGGTCCCGCGAACGACTCTCGCGCCGGTCCGCGGTCAGGAATCGCGAAGCGAGGTCGTCCCGAGGAGGTTCCGAGTCTTCCCTCCGCCTCGAACTCCAGTTGGCGAGGAACGCGTGCCGATCGTCCGCTTCTCTATTCTGGTGGACGCCGAAAGTATCGCGGTCGCGACGGAGTTGCGCGAACGTGGATGAAGCATCAGGGATGGGAGGGGGCGGGGCCGGTTTGTCGGGAGGCGTGGGCGGGGCCAGGGGCGGGGGCGGGGCGGGGCCGGGCGGCGCGGGGGGAAGCGGCGGCGGGGGCGCGTCCCATCTGCCCCCGCCCCCCAGCTGCCTCTCTAACATAAGCTTCCTAGTGTCTTCTAACTTATTAATCGTGCGCGGCGTTTCGGCCGCTGACGAGGAACTCCTCACCGAGTGGTTGGCGGTCACTCGCTCGAGTCGCTGCCTCATTTCGGAACTGAGCTTCAGCTTGCCGACGCTGCCGGGCGACGGGCGCTGGGCGCCTATTTCGAAGCTTCGTCGAGCCGTCCTCTGGCTGGGCGGCTCCCTGCTGGGCGACACCGGCCCGTCGACTTCGAACTCCTCCCATTCTATACTCGGAGTGGCTTCGGACCGGGAGCGACCCCTGGGAGGCTCCTGCTCACCGTTAGTCTGAGCTTGAGGGGTGTGTCGGCGTTGTATCTGACGCATTTTGAATTTGGTGAAGTCCTGATTGGGGTCTTGACCTATGGCATCTTTGGGTGGGGGCCATCTCCATTTGCCGATGCGCACTGTTTTAGCACGTCCGTATGGGTCCATGAAAGGTCGCGCTTCGGATGGGTCGGATGCGTGCAGCGGTGGCGGCATCGGCGGGGGAGGAGGAGGCGGCGCCCCCATAGAAGAATTATTCTCGTTCGATTCCCGCCGCGTTTTTGATGAACTTCTAGGGGGAGAATGCACTTGCGCGTGCACCACTGTCGACGATCGCACCGGCGACGTCGGCTCCGAATCGGTCGGCTCCACTACTTGACCGGCAAGCAGCGTTTGGAGAGCTTGATTTTGAGCAAGAAGCTGCTGCTGAATCTGCAGGTTCTGCGCCATGGCACTCTGAAGGAACGCTCGTTGAAGGTTCTGGTGGTACGCGTTCATGTCGACCGTTCCAGAGGGTGGGAAATGCAGGCCCATAGCCGCGGCCAGTGCTTCAGGGGTCGCGGGCATAGTAGGGGGTAGGGACATAGCCCCAAAACTTAAAGTTGAGGTGTTGGCAGAAGCAGCTCTAGGCGTAGCGCCTCCCCCTTTTATGGCTTCCGAAAGCCCCTCGCCGTCAGACAACCGCTTCAAGCTATCGTTCATGAATATTGGATCGAAAAGATTCGTTATATAAGCGTCGACGGAATCTACGCTCGACTGTTTCCTGCTTTTATCCTTCTCTTTGTCATCCTTCCCTCCTCCTTTAATTAGGGTTTGCAGGTGCTGGGGGTCGTTTAGGAAGTTCAATTGTTCGTTGTAGTCGCAGGAGAGTATTTCGTCGATGAACTTGGAATAGTTGCCGCCTTTGATGCTGGCCGCGAGCGACCTGGCGTCTGAGAGCTCGTCGATGTTGGGATCGAGCACGGGAGAGAACAGATCGTCGAGGAACTGGTCTACGTCGGACGCCTGTGAAGGGACTCGCACCCGGCGTACGTGGGATGCCAAGCTTGGTGCTTCTGATGTATCTGACATGGCTGAAGACCTGCAAATGAAATTACAATAAAAGTCGGAACTAATTAGCTATCCGTAAATTCTAAACGCGGGTGGTCCATGGCGTGAGGACGAGACAAGTACTCAGAATAAGGATAAGAAATAATAGATTATAGCCCCCTTAGCATGAGCACCTCGATATGATATATAACGCGTTTTTATCACGCTCAATAGGGTATTTTCCTTGCTTCGCTTCGGTGTAGAGCTAAAGTGTAGACTACAGTTTTTGTTCTCAGGCATTCATCTATGATTCTTCTTATACCTGTATGCAAAGTCTCAGCCCGATCGGTTTAAAATAGGGAAGATGCAATATTTTTATTTTTGTTTTCATTTTCAAGAATTCCATGTAGAATAAACCACAGATATATTAAAAAATTAAAACATTGTGATTTATCGGAAAAAATGCGGTTTTAAATTGACAATTTAAATTTTCGCGCGAAAACGAACCTATGGTTGCGATGACGTTACTCCTGTCTGTCACTGATCGTACTTGTTCGTTGCTAGCTTTAAATTTTCATACTTTTGCATATTTTTCCGACTTTCGAAATATTTTTTTGAAAAATTTCAAATGGACTATCCATCAACATCATGTGACTCATGTTTTGTGCCAATCTACTTCAACAAAGTTCCCAAATAAATTGTTTTTGACTGGAACTTCTAACCCAAAACTGAGAAAAAAGTGGTTTCAAGCTGCGAAGAGAAATGACAATTATTCTCCAAAGACCATTATTCGATGCTGAGAAGATCACTTTGACGTAAGTCGGCGAATATACTTGTTATATGCTTAATTAATCTGCTTGTACGTAAAAACGCATTAGTAACCTACCTAATATTTACAAAACCTGTCTATAACATATTTTTAATTTTACAGTTGGAGAATGACGTCGAAAATTAGGTAAAGTTTAAAATGTGTGGCACAATCTTCACATTGGCAGGACTGAACCAAACTTTGCGTTTCATTTAAAATAACTGTAACACGATAACCTTCTTTACGTACTTTATGCTCCGGAGGACTCGACCTTTTACTGTACATAATTCTCCATCTCTTTTAATTTGGACATAGCCGATTGCATTATCGCCGTAAGATTTGTAGAAGCCGCTGAATAAAATACGAAGTTTAACAACTACGATTTTTACATACCGTAGTAATTTAGTCCCTTTCTTTTCTACACTTAAAAACTCTGCACTTTGGACAAAAAAAGTTATAACCATGTCAACGCTAACTCTTGGTAAATTCCTGGAGTCTGCTTTGATAAACGCAACTTCCATTTTTATTAAATGTAAAAAAACGCAATAAATATTTCCATAAAATAATATTTACTTTAACCATACATACATAACCATAACCTCAAAGAAGTTGTCATAACAGGAGTGACGTCACTAAACGCTGATTGGTGTTTTAAAATACGTTCCGTTTCAAGTATTTTTAATTCGTAATAATTGTTAAAAAACAACATTATGTAAAATAAAAACGTTGCAGTGGCATTTCTTTTATATTTTTTTAACATTTTAATCATAAAATTTTCATAATTATTATATATGCATCTTCCCTATTGACAAAGTTTCATACAAACTTTCATTCCCTATTTCATCCCCTTGGGGGTAGAATTGATCAAAATCCTTTCTTAGCGGATGCCTACGTCATAACATCTACCTGCATGCCAAATTTCAGCCCGATCCGTCCAGTGGTTTGGGCTGTGCGTTGATAGATCACTATGTCAGTCAGTCACCTTTGAGTTTTATTTATATAGATATAGATTTCTTTTGCCACTATTCGACCTTGAATGGTTAGAACGAGTAATTTCAAGCAATTTATTATAAAAAAATCTGCTATTTAGCTCACAAAAAGAAACTTACCGTACGCCTCCAAATTCGGAACTCTTCTCAATGTAAGCACGACTAGACTGCGAGCCGGCGGGCGCCCTCTTGCCCGCGTACTGCGACTTTATATACCTCGAAGGCACCACACGGGAAGTCGTCCCATACTCGATGTCCAACGCTCCCTTACTACTGGTCACGCTGGGCGCACCGCCTAATCTCTCCACCGAGTGATAACGATCATTAAGTCGCGATTGTGATAGCCCCAAGTCAGTTAACTTCGTCGGTTGTGGTATAGGATTGTCCCCTAACAGGTTATCTAGTGATCTGCTTCTCATTTTATCGTTGTTCTGTTCGAAGTATCTCTCGTTTAGAGCTGACTCCCGCGATAGAATGTCGTGGGAGATCTTTCTGGAATATTCGTTTTCGTGGGAAGATTTTCTAGAGTAATCGTTATCGTGGGACGTTTTTCTAGAGTAATCGTTGTCGTGAGAAGTCTTTCTGGAGTAATCGTTATCCGAAGTTTTCCTTGAGAATTCGTTGTCGTGCGACGATTTCCTCGAGTATTCGTTGTGTTCGCTGATAGTGTGTGCGTCCTCGCGTTCCATTTTCCAGTTGTAGTCGGTGACTTCGTCGATCGACTCCCTGAGAAGCCGTTGAATGCTGGGAGAACGCGACTTCGGAGGTTCAGGTGGGGGAACCTAGAACAAAGACGGCCAATAAAATATAATTATAGATAAAGTACTATTTTCTATTTCATTGTTATTGAAGGTATATTTTAACCATAAACGATTGACGACGATAGCCTTTGACAACCTCCGTAGCCGAGTGCACAGTGTTTTATGCAACCAAAAAAATTTACACCTTAAGATTTTTGCATAAATCAATTATTTATACCCTAATAAAGGCAAGAGTTCAATTCTCAGATCACTATTTCCATTAAAAAAAAAGATATGAAGTAGCAAAGTTTTTGAAATTTGAGCATTAAAAAATTAACAATTTAATTTCCTCAAAAGACGGTTCCATATCTGTACATGAGATATTTGCCACTTGATAAGGAATTATTGAAGGCATAATTTTGCAATTTTATTTTATTTATAAGTGTCCTAGTTTCCGAGAAATATTTCTTTTTTAAATTTCGATTTTTAATTTTTTTCTCCAAATATCGGCAAAAGTGGAACCTGGATTTAGTACAGAAAGATTCTATAAGCCAAGTTCTATCACCCATAAAAAAATCAGGTTTCACTTTTGCGGTTTTAAGAAGTTATGACAGAATTTAGATAAAGGTCAACTTTCATGATCTAGGATTGTCACAAAGGTCAACTATGAGTTAAATGAAAATGTTAAATTTTTTGTTTGTTAATTAATACCGTCAATCAATTGAATAAATTAACAACACTTGTGGATGAATACAATATACTTACATATACTAGGTACCTACCTAATTTAGATGTGATAATGTAGGAATACTTTATGTTTGTTCGACCACATTTTAACTTTGTACCTTACACGCTAAACGGTAACGAAAAAATGAACTATGTTGCTTGAAAAAAATTTCAAAATTCATTCAGAATCATTCAGGCATTCGATCAGAAAATAAAAACAAATCTTGGGCATAAGTCAGTTAGTAGATGTAACTATTATTGTTACAAAAAAAAACGTAGAGGTAAGCAGGCATGAACTTGTGTCTAATTGGGTCTCCAAAACACACACACACAAAACTAACAATTAATAGTTAATACTCAGACCCGAAAACGAAAATCGATATTCATTATAATGACTTCCGCCTTGACTGGGAATCACCATAAGCGTTCCTTTTTTGCAAATAGAGCTTGGAGCCCATAAAAATATGTTAAAGGTACTGTAGTAAGTTCCTAAAATCTACATTATTGTAAACTCGTTCAAAACTAATACACAAATTTATATTTTAAAAATTTTCGTTCGAGGTTAGGTTCGGTGTCAACCCTAGCATAAAAATTTAAAAATGAATATCTTCTAATCGCCGCAAAAGTGACACGTGGCTTATTTATGTATGATAGACCACATCCGTAGGTTTATTTCTATCGAAGTTCTAGGTTCCACTTTTTCGTTTTTAGGGAGAAAAAACAATAAATACGAAATACAAAAAAAAAATTCTGCTCCCAAACCAATGCATTTTTTTAAGCTAAAGAAACGCGTTTATACGCCTCTGATTATGCCCGATTGACACATATTTATTAAAAAAATATATTGTTAATATTCACTTCATAAAACATATTCTAGATTTCATAGGTCAAAGGTCACGATAAATTCATGATTTTTTTTCTCAAAAAGTATTTGAGTTAGACTTCTGGGATTTGAACTCATGCCTTTTTTAGGGTATAAATAATCTATTTATGTAAAAACCTGAACATGTAAATTTTTTTGGTTCCATAAAACACTGTGGAGTGGTATGTACGCCGGGTTTCATGGTATCGCCAACTCGAGAGGTCCTGGGTTCGAACCCGGTGGGGGCAGGTGTTTGTGTGATGAATACGAGCATTTGTACTCCAGTTATGGATGTTTAAAATGTATTTTCTATATAAATACACTTATATATGTATCAGTATATGTATTCTATCCGTTACCCTAGTATCCCATAACACAAGCCTATAGTGCTTACTTTGGGGCTAGGTAATTGGTGTGAGTGTTGGAAATATTTATTTTATTTATTTAAATTAAAAGTAAGTTAAATCGATTCGTCAGATATTGATTACGATACTAGACGATAATACCGACATTTTCAAATTGTTCTGCCCTTCGGATACGTATACTATGCATACTGTGATTCGTTGTATTGACCAGCGCTTAGATACCTGTGGTTATTATACCTTGCTGAATCGACTCTTTTTTGTGCAGGATTCCATTTATCAAGAAAGGCTATAAAACGCTACAATTAATAGGACAGCGAGCACCAATAGGGTATTTGACAGTGTTAAAAATAAAGTGCCAATTGTTAGCAACTGTGTTTAGAATGAATATTGGCAGGGGTTTTTACTATTTTTACAAAAAAAAATTGGCGGAGTCTAAAATGACGTCACACGCAAGTAAATTTCAGGTTAAAGTGACATTACATTGTATCCTTTGACGTTTTAATAACAGTCGTGTGACGTCACACTCTAGTAAGCAGCCATATTGTCCAGAGAAATGTCTTCGCGGCAACTTGACAATGGAGTTTTTGATTTGGTTATTTTTACTTAAATACACAACAGAATGATGAATATCCACTTTTACGGACTCCATAAGCATAAGTCAATAACGTGAGATCGTTTTCTTAAACTTGTCAAATACCCTATTATAAATGTTGCGAAAACGGGTGATTTTTTGATGGGAGATTCGGTTGTGTGCGCTGCGTGAGCGGTTAAAAGTTACATAACAGTTAATATACCTGTGGTCTTGTAGGCTTGTCGTCCGTAGACGTGGCCCGGGGAGGCGGAGCAGGAAACTCATTCCTAGGCAATGCACGTGTGCAACGTTCAGTGGAGCTATAACAGCTGATATTTCGAGGATAGCCGATATAACTGTGGTCTCGTAGGCTTGTCATCTGTGGACGTGGCTCTGGGAGACGGGGTAGGAGACACATTCCTCGGTGAAGCTCGCAGGGGCTTCCCGCGTCGGTTGGCTAGCGTTATAACAGCTGATGTATCTGTGGGTAGTTGATATACCTGTGGTCTCGTAGGCTTGTCATCTGTGGAAGTGGCTCTGGGAGGCGGAGCAGGGGGAACATTCCTCGGTGAAGCTCGCAGGGGCTTCCCGCGTCGGTTGGCTAGCGTTATAACAGCTGATGTATCTGTGGATAGTTGATATACCTGTGGTCTCGTAGGCTTGTCATCTGTGGACGTGGCTCTGGGAGAGGGGGTAGGGGGCACATTCCTCGGTGAAGCTCGCAGGGGCTTCCCGCGTCGGTTGGCCAGGGTTATAACAGCTGATGTATCTGTGGGTAGTTGATATACCTGTGGTCTCGTAGGCTTGTCATCTGTGGAAGTGGCTCTGGGAGGCGGAGCAGGGGGAACATTCCTCGGTGAAGCTCGCAGGGGCTTCCCGCGTCGGTTGGCTAGCGTTATAACAGCTGATGTATCTGTGGATAGTTGATATACCTGTGGTCTCGTAGGCTTGTAATCTGTGGATGGGCTCTGGGAGGCGGGGCAGGGGGCACATTCCTCGGTGAAGCTCGCAGGGGCTTCCCGCGTCGGTTGGCCAGGATTATAACAGCTGATGTATCTGTGGATAGTTGATATACCTGTGGTCTCGTAGGCTTGTCGTCCATAGACGTGTCTGTGGGAGGCGGTTCAGGGGGCACATTCCTCGGTGAAGCTCGCAGGGGCTTCCCGCGTCCGTTGGCCAACGTTATAACAGCTGATGTATCTGTGGATAGTTGATATACCTGTGGTCTCGTAGGCTTGTCATCTGTGGACGTGGCTCTGGGAGGTGGGGCAGGGGGCACATTTCTCGGTGAAGCTCGCAGGGGCTCCCCGCGTCCGTTGGCCAGCGCCGCCCAAGTTTCTATCTCCCCTACAGCGTCCAATGCGTATTCGCAACCCGCCCATTCTGGTACACAAACGATATTTTTGTAAATTATTAAGTGTAGTGTGTTTGAAAGTGTTCATAAAGCGCTTATAAATTTGTTATAATTTCAGACCATTTTATGCATATCTGGATTTCGATATATGTGGACCGATTTTCCAGATTCTTCTTTTAGCGAGATGGTTTTATATGAATTTGGTGAAATCTGATGAGTACTTTCCAAGACAAACTATGGAATCCCTAATTTACAAACAGTGCAGATATTAATTCGCATATTAAAATGAAATTTAAACGGAGAATGCAGACCAGATATACACCCCGGCAAACATAATTTCTCATACACGAAAATATATTTACATACATGCACATATTTTACACACACACACATCCCCATATCTATATATAAATATATTATCTGTATGTATATGTATACGTGACGACCTCCGTGGCCGAGTGGTTTATACGCCGGGTTTCATGGCGTCGCCGACTCGAGAGGTCCCGGGTTCGAATCCCGGTGGGGGCAGATGTTTGTGTGATGAATACGAGCATTTGTACTCCAGTCATGGATGTTTAATATGTATTTAATAAAATATACTTATATATGTACAATATATGTATTCTATCCGTTACCCTAGTATTCCATAACACAAGCCTTTACAGTGCTTACTTTGGGGCTAGGCTAATTGGTGTTTTAAAAAAAAAAAAAAAAAAAAAAAATATATATATACATATAGATGGAGCTAAAGAAGTTTCACTTTAGTCGTGTGGTCATAAGCACACTCATTTTTTTATTGTATCTTTTATTAAAGTGTTTACCGGTGAGTTGCCCGTTGTGGTCCATGCACAGCGTCCACCCGGCGCGGGCGGCGTGCCCGTCGTGCCCGTCGTGCCCGGCGTGCCCGTCGTGCCCGGCGGCGTGCAGCGCGGCCGCGGCGGCGCGCTCGCACGAGGTCCACGCCTCCACTTGTACCGCGTGCACCGTGTCTAATGGGAGAAAATAACATGTCACTACCGTTGCCACCTATTATAGATATTAACGGGATTGTTACCATGTACCTTGTTTTTTATGAGTCTCCGTGATCATGGCGCTTGCAACAGTGCCGAAATATCGGAGACTCATAAAAAACAAGGTACATGGTAACAATCCCGTTAATATCTATAATGCTAGTGACCATGAAAGTTTAAAACAATATATCGTTGCCACCTATGCCTATTTGACTCCAGACTTATGGCGTGACATCCCACTGACCAAGTCTCCTTATTCTGAATTTAAAGTCTAAATTTAAAGAACACAATAAAGTAATTGTAAAAGTAATTGTTATCTTTTTATATATATAATTCTTCTGTGAGTGTGTATGCCACTGAACTTCTCTTAAACGACTGGACCGATTTTGATGAAATTTTTTGTGTGTGTTCAAGGGGATCTGAGAATGGTTTAGATTCACAATTTTGTCCGCTGGACAACCCCTATTTTTTTAGGGCGGTACCAAGTTCGCTGGGTCAGCTAGTATGTATATAAGACAATATCTTTTAATGGAAATTGTAAAAGTAAACAAATGTGTTGCTCTGAAAACAAAGATTTTATTTAAGTATGTTGTATGTAGGTTAAAACATTTATTATTCACTACACTTTTTCTATCTACTATAAATCGTACTGACTTACCTGAAAACAAAGAGACGACATTTAAAGTCTTTTACTTAATACAACATTTCCTTCCTTTACAATAATATTTTAAAATAACCAAATAAAAATATCACGGCTCGTTCTGTCAAAGCGACACCATCTATCAAGTGACAATTTTATTATTATGGTCGCCCGAGAGCTACATAAACTACTTAAGAAATAACAAATTAAAGAACTGACTGTAAAGAGGTTCTTTACATGTATGTGATAGTAATACAGATCGCGGCACGTACCTATAGCGCTAAACAAACCGCGGAGGGGATAGCTGCGCATGGGTACGCGCACCTCGTTTCCCCCCAACGCATCTTTATTTTTAAGCGCGCGCAATAGCGGTCAGCGCTAGAGTTTCATGCCGCGACTTATACAACGGTTGCTAAATTATTGTTTCAATTAAGGAAAAACTACGCCGCCAGTTGGCGCAACTGTGACATGAGGTCTTATGTACATAGTTTATGGCGCGAGTCAATCGAAAGATAAACGCCGCGCCGCGCCCGCAGCCGCGCGTGCATACTGACCGTCGTACAACCGCAGCGGGAGCGCCGGCCTGGCGTCGGTGTGGTTGGCGCGCCACTCCAGTATCGTGGGAGGGCAGCGCCGCGCCCGCAGCCGCGCGTGCATACTGACCGTCGTACAGCCGCAGCGGGAGCGCCGGCCTGGCGTCGGTGTGGTTGGCGCGCCACTCCAGTATCGTGGGAGGGCAGCGCCGCGCCCGCAGCCGCGCCCGCATACTGACCGTCGTACAGCCGCAGCGGGAGCGCCGGCCTGGCGTCGGTGTGGTTGGCGCGCCACTCCAGTATCGTGGGAGGGCAGCGCCGCGCCCGCAGCCGCGCCCGCATACTGACCGTCGTACAGCCGCAGCGGGAGCGCCGGCCTGGCGTCGGTGTGGTTGGCGCGCCACTCCAGTATCGTGGGAGGGCAGCGCCGCGCCCGCAGCCGCGCGTGCATACTGACCGTCGTACAGCCGCAGCGGGAGCGCCGGCCTGGCGTCGGTGTGGTTGGCGCGCCACTCCAGTATCGTGGGAGGGCAGCGCCGCGCCCGCAGCCGCGCGTGCATACTGACCGTCGTACAGCCGCAGCGGGAGCGCCGGCCTGGCGTCGGTGTGGTTGGCGCGCCACTCCAGTATCGTGGGAGGGCAGCGCCGCGCCCGCAGCCGCGCGTGCATACTGACCGTCGTACAGCCGCAGCGGGAGCGCCGGCCTGGCGTCGGTGTGGTTGGCGCGCCACTCCAGTATCGTGGGAGGGCAGCGCCGCGCCCGCAGCCGCGCCCGCATACTGACCGTCGTACAGCCGCAGCGGGAGCGCCGGCCTGGCGTCGGTGTGGTTGGCGCGCCACTCCAGTATCGTGGGAGGGCAGCGCCGCGCCCGCAGCCGCGCCCGCATACTGACCGTCGTACAGCCGCAGCGGGAGCGCCGGCCTGGCGTCGGTGTGGTTGGCGCGCCACTCCAGTATCGTGGGAGGGCAGCGCCGCGCCCGCAGCCGCGCGTGCATACTGACCGTCGTACAGCCGCAGCGGGAGCGCCGGCCTGGCGTCGGTGTGGTTGGCGCGCCACTCCAGTATCGTGGGAGGGCAGCGCCGCGCCCGCAGCCGCGCGTGCATACTGACCGTCGTACAGCCGCAGCGGGAGCGCCGGCCTGGCGTCGGTGTGGTTGGCGCGCCACTCCAGTATCGTGGGAGGGCAGCGCCGCGCCCGCAGCCGCGCCCGCATACTGACCGTCGTACAGCCGCAGCGGGAGCGCCGGCCTGGCGTCGGTGTGGTTGGCGCGCCACTCCAGTATCGTGGGAGGGCAGCGCCGCGCCCGCAGCCGCGCGTGCATACTGACCGTCGTACAGCCGCAGCGGGAGCGCCGGCCTGGCGTCGGTGTGGTTGGCGCGCCACTCCAGTATCGTGGGAGGGCAGCGCCGCGCCCGCAGCCGCGCCCGCATACTGACCGTCGTACAGCCGCAGCGGGAGCGCCGGCCTGGCGTCGGTGTGGTTGGCGCGCCACTCCAGTATCGTGGGAGGGCAGCGCCGCGCCCGCAGCCGCGCCCGCATACTGACCGTCGTACAGCCGCAGCGGGAGCGCCGGCCTGGCGTCGGTGTGGTTGGCGCGCCACTCCAGTATCGTGGGAGGGCAGCGCCGCGCCCGCAGCCGCGCGTGCATACTGACCGTCGTACAGCCGCAGCGGGAGCGCCGGCCTGGCGTCGGTGTGGTTGGCGCGCCACTCCAGTATCGTGGGAGGGCAGCGCCGCGCCCGCAGCCGCGCGTGCATACTGACCGTCGTACAGCCGCAGCGGGAGCGCCGGCCTGGCGTCGGTGTGGTTGGCGCGCCACTCCAGTATCGTGGGAGGGCAGCGCCGCGCCCGCAGCCGCGCGTGCATACTGACCGTCGTACAGCCGCAGCGGGAGCGCCGGCCTGGCGTCGGTGTGGTTGGCGCGCCACTCCAGTATCGTGGGAGGGCAGCGCCGCGCCCGCAGCCGCGCGTGCATACTGACCGTCGTACAGCCGCAGCGGGAGCGCCGGCCTGGCGTCGGTGTGGTTGGCGCGCCACTCCAGTATCGTGGGAGGGCAGCGCCGCGCCCGCAGCCGCGCCCGCATACTGACCGTCGTACAGCCGCAGCGGGAGCGCCGGCCTGGCGTCGGTGTGGTTGGCGCGCCACTCCAGTATCGTGGGAGGGCAGCGCCGCGCCCGCAGCCGCGCCCGCATACTGACCGTCGTACAGCCGCAGCGGGAGCGCCGGCCTGGCGTCGGTGTGGTTGGCGCGCCACTCCAGTATCGTGGGAGGGCAGCGCCGCGCCCGCAGCCGCGCGTGCATACTGACCGTCGTACAGCCGCAGCGGGAGCGCCGGCCTGGCGTCGGTGTGGTTGGCGCGCCACTCCAGTATCGTGGGAGGGCAGCGCCGCGCCCGCAGCCGCGCGTGCATACTGACCGTCGTACAGCCGCAGCGGGAGCGCCGGCCTGGCGTCGGTGTGGTTGGCGCGCCACTCCAGTATCGTGGGAGGGCAGCGCCGCGCCCGCAGCCGCGCCCGCATACTGACCGTCGTACAGCCGCAGCGGGAGCGCCGGCCTGGCGTCGGTGTGGTTGGCGCGCCACTCCAGTATCGTGGGAGGGCAGCGCCGCGCCCGCAGCCGCGCCCGCATACTGACCGTCGTACAACCGCAGCGGGAGCGCCGGCCTGGCGTCGGTGTGGTTGGCGCGCCACTCCAGTATCGTGGGAGGGCAGCGCCGCGCCCGCAGCCGCGCCCGCATACTGACCGTCGTACAGCCGCAGCGGGAGCGCCGGCCTGGCGTCGGTGTGGTTGGCGCGCCACTCCAGTATCGTGGGAGGGCAGCGCCGCGCCCGCAGCCGCGCCCGCATACTGACCGTCGTACAGCCGCAGCGGGAGCGCCGGCCTGGCGTCGGTGTGGTTGGCGCGCCACTCCAGTATCGTGGGAGGGCAGCGCCGCGCCCGCAGCCGCGCGTGCATACTGACCGTCGTACAGCCGCAGCGGGAGCGCCGGCCTGGCGTCGGTGTGGTTGGCGCGCCACTCCAGTATCGTGGGAGGGCAGCGCCGCGCCGCCCCGCCGCCGCCTCCCGCCCGCGCCGCGCCCGCAGCCGCGCCGCACACTAACCGCAGTAGGTGCGCGCGCAAGTGGGCCGGCGCGCGCTCCGATATGAACCGCACCAGATACCTGCGAACATATATTCAAGTTCAATTAAAGAAATGAAACATTTCTGGACGTGGTGTAAATGGAAAAGCTGAAACGGAAATGCGTCACGAGATTTAAATACATATGTATAGATATTTGTGGGTGTGTATGTGGGATGCGTGCGCAGATCTTCCCGATGAGTATAAAAGTAGAAGGGCAACTCAGCAAAGGCTGAAACTCTGCGGGCGTTACGAGCGTCACACGCGACAATATATATGAGTGAACCGTGCGCTGCGCCTTATGCTAGCCATACACACTACGAGAAATCGTTTCGATCAGACTGTACAGTTCGAACGGAAATGTTTATCGGACGTGGCATACGTATAGGAAATTGTGCAGTTTTATAACATACACGCTACGATTTATCGGTACCGTTCGAACTGTACAGTCTGATTGTAACGATTTCTCGTAGAGTGTATGGCCGGTATTATGCACTGCCTAATATAAGGTTATTTAAAAAAATTAATTCCATTTCTGATGTGTGGTCCGTGCACACTATATTTTTATGTTTATTCATCTTGAGAACTGTACGGTCTGATCACCGCACGTACTGAGCTGACATAGCGACTCACTTTGGGCACAGTGGTGACACTTTCAGTACGTGAGAGTTCTAGCGTCAGTGACCTTGAGCAGGAGCGTGTATGCGATAGGGTTGAACCGAATTGGAATTTAAACTTGTGCCAATGAATATTTATGCATAGTAAGTTATTAAATGTAAACTGATTCAAGGATTCTGGGGTAAGTAATGAAGGATAGGTTTGATTTTATAATCAATTTTTAATCTTTTCATGTAGGTACTGTAACAAATTGCTAACTTTTATATATTTTCTCCTTTTTCGATTCGTTTTATAATTCTTATTATTATCTAAATAATAATAAGATTGCGTAGCGTAGTCAGTCTGTGCGTGCAATGTAGTGCAACACTATTATTTTACTATTTCGCTACTGCCATGCCTTCGGTGGAGGCAGTCGGCGACTGCCCTCTCCACGCCCCGCGCGCCGCGCAACGCCCCCGCGCACCTCCAGACACCCACACATAGCCGCGGGCGATTTTACGAGCACACATGCTTAAGTGTCGCTTCTTTTTGCGTAGTGTATATATTCTGTGCTTTGGGTCGCGCGTCATAATAGTTAATTTGATTGATATTATATATTAATTACACGAGTACGTTAAGAATGCGCATTCGAAACAGCCAAGCAAAGAATCACCTACTAACATTTTTATCTGTATTTACGTTCAGCTGCAATAAATATACCTACATATCTAACTTTGGTGACTTCTTTACCTGCATACTACAAACAACTATCATCTATCAACATCTAAAAGGTGTACGGGGTCAAACTGGCCCGTACAAGAACTTTTGGTTTAGTAGAACTTTTATTTATCGTAATAAAGTTTATGATCTTTGCAACTGGACTCACAATTGAGTTACAACGGTACCTAATTTAGTAAAATAAAATAAAAATCTCCATCTCTAGCAACAATGATGATCGCCCACACAAGTGAGTCATCATCACTAACGAAAAAAACGACGGGTTGCACTCCGGGAGTGCCGGCAGAAGTGAAAACTTGAATATTAACGTTGTGCATTTTTGTAATTTGGGAATGGTTAGGGAATAATTTTGCATTTGAATTTCTTTAATTATCAGTATAAAAGTACTATCATTTATGTGGTAAAATACAATATTTATTTATTGCGCTATCGTACACAAACATGACAATTTATATTACGTTAAAAAGTTTATCTCTCGAATTTCACATTTAAGCGCACCTAGCGACATCTATTGTAAAAAAATGCACTTTCTTCGCAATAAAGCTGCCACCTGGACGTCCTAGATACAGACTTATTATTATAATACGATAAAATAAAATATTACTATATATATAAGGGGGCGTCCATAAATTACGTGAGGTGTATTTTTGAATTTTCTGTCCCTCCCTCCCCCCTAGGTGAGATGTCGTGAGATTTTATTCAACCCCCTCCCCCATCCCCCGATCTCACGTGAGATTTTTCAATATGTGGGTTTCTTACGTAAACGCGTTAGATTGTTACAAATATGGTGGTTTGACAGTCATGTATAACGTCGAAGTATGAATGAAATTATTTTCTTTCAAACGAATTAGTGAATGATTTTTAATCGTATTACGATTACGCTTTAGATTAAATCTTAAGCATGTACAATCTGGATAAAATGGACCACAATAGTATTTTTTTTTTTTGTTTCAATCAGAAAAAAATTGCGTGATATTTGCCGAGACCCCCCCTCTCTCCAACGTAAGATTAGATGAGATTTGACTCGACCCCCTCCCCCCCTTAAACATCTCACGTAATTTATGGATGCCCCCTAATAATATATTGAATATATAATATATTGAAAGTCAACAACCATTCCATTTTTTTTGTTTTCGTCTTACGATCAGCCCACGTGTCATGACGCGAGTTTAACATTTTTTCAAACCCATACAAAAAAAAGTGTACAACGCCGCTAAAGAAGTTTTCACTTCAAAAAACTGGTCACGCAAACGTAGTTGCGGGACGAAATCTATTCTATGAATACCTTCTTGATTTTGCATCACTCACTTGTGTAACGGTGGACCGGGTTGGAACACTGACAGGCAGTGCGCCATTAACTGCCACACTCGTTCTGAGGAATCGTTGCCGCTGGCTTGATTGCACAACTGCACCAGAATCTCATCGCGAAGACCCCTGGACGCCAATCCTTTTGAAGCTATGTAATCCGCCAATACCTGATCACACATTTTAAGTCAATAAATATTTTTAAGTTCACAAACGCTGCTTGGCTGAACGTTTCAAATTTCTTTGTCTCGAAAAATGTATTAAAAAGTTAAGCGTCAAATTCAGCGGGAAACTCTGTCAAAGGCTTCTTGCTTTTATTATTGTTACTACCAAAATACAAGGAGGAACATTGTTGAATAAATATCGCTAGTTATTTACAGCGGATTTGGTGCAACGCAACCGACCGGAAGATTTATGTACCTGCTTAATAATGTAATGGACCCTTGCGCACGCGCAGTTGTGTAACAAACTGGTGGCATTATTTCAACTGTTACAGGCCGCTCATAGTGAACATTAATTACTAAACGATTAACATAACAGTAATTGATATTACATGAAAAAAGATGTATTACTTTATTGGGGTTTCAACTAGCAAATAAATTAACGTATTTAACAAAACTAGGTGTACAAAAAAAGTTGCATGTGTGTCGTCTTGGATAATTCGTGTGACTTTATAACGAAATAGTCCACTATACGAGCCACATTGTGGCCGGGTCCACCTGGCTTCAGAAAAAGAGGCAGACCGCAAACACGATGGACAGACGATATCACACGTATAGCTGGTCGAGACTGGGTTACAGTAGCACGAAACAGAAATACATGGCAATCTCTGGAGGAGGCCTTCACCTGAGAGGGGTTATTGTCAAACTCATTTATTAATAAATCTCTTATCTATTAGACAAGTCCGTCTGTCTGTGGTGCTGTTTCAGCGGCCAAACCGTAAGAGATAGATAAAGAGAATATTTAAGTTATAAGTTAAGAATAGTCTGATAAGACTACAAACCGTATTTGAGTAACGTAGCACTTCCGGTTTTCGAGAAATCAGGTTTTGGTGAACATTTGGTTCACTGGTTTGCTAGTATTTTATAATCTGTTAAAGGGTGTAATAAAATTAGCAAGAAATAAAAGGTGTTATTATTATTATAACGAAATAAACTTGCTTAAATTCAATTTTTAGTCTGGCCTAAAAGTGTCATACAACATACAGATAAACAAAGTTTCAAACTATTTGCCAGGTCCGTCAAGCTGTTATGATATTTTAGAACCTGTTTTCATAACTTATGTTTGTAATTTGTCAAGGTAATTACAATTGAACGCTCAATTGCAGCCTTATTATAATAAAACACCAAAACATCAACCTATCATTTTATTTTTTAAGCATGCAACTGCTCGATGTTTAAATCTAATGAAAATATTGCTAGAAAAATATCCACGCGGACCAGGCATCCAGACGGGACTCGAACCCGCACCCTTCGCTATCCGGGCGAATGCACTGACCATGCTACCGCGGCTCTGACGGTCGATTTCTTTCTAGCCTTTCTTAAGCTGCAAGGCAGCGCCATCTCTTCTCATTGTAGGTAACCCACAATGTCAAATGAATACCTTTATAATCAACTTATCAGTTTTGACTGATATAAACTAGGTATACCTTCTGTCTCGCCTCATTCCCTGCAGCGGATTCGTCGCACCATCGGAGTATCAGTTTGAACGTAGCTACTGCGTCATTGAAATCTTGGTCTCTGAAAATTGACAGTTCGTTTTATCAAAACTTTTTTTTTATTTATCGCCAAACATGCCATCTTATGGTAACGAGATCTAGTATCAAAAATCAAATAACTTAGAGAGAAATCCCCTTTGATTCTCCTAGTTTTGTCTGTGTGGTGTTGGTGTATCTTGTAAATCTTATGGTAACAAGATCTAGAATCCGAAATCAAATAACTCAGAGAGAAATCCCCTTTGATGCTCCTAGTTTTGTCTGTGTGGTGATGTGTTGGTGTCTCTTGTAAATCTTATGGTAACAAGATCTAGAATCAGAAATCAAATAACTCAGAGAGAAATCCCCTTTGATGCTCCTAGTTTTGTCTGTGTGGTGATGTGTTGGTGTCTCTTGTAAATCTTATGGTAACAAGATCTAGAATCCGAAATCAAGTAACTCAGAGAGAAATCCCCTTTGATGCTCCTAGTTTTGTCTGTGTGGTGTTGGTGTCTCTTGTAAATCTTATGGTAACAAGATCTAGAATCAGCAATCAAATAACTCAGAGAGAAATCCCCTTTGATGCTCCTAGTTTTGTCTGTGTGGTGTTGGTGTCTCTTGTAAATCTTATGGTAACAAGATCTAGAATCAGCAATCAAATAACTCAGAGAGAAATCCCCTTTGATGCTCCTAGTTTTGCCTGTGTGGTGTTGGTGTCTCTTGTAAATCTTACGGTAACAAGATCTAGAATCAGCAATCAAATAACTCAGAGAGAAATCCCCTTTGATGCTCCTAGTTTTGCCTGTGTGGTGTTGGTGTCTCTTGTAAATCTTATGGTAACAAGATCTAGAATCAGCAATCAAATAACTCAGAGAGAAATCCCCTTTGATGCTGCTAGTTTTGTCTGTGTGGTGTTGGTGTCTCTTGTAAATCTTATGGTAACAAGATCTAGAATCAGCAATCAAATAACTCAGAGAGAAATCCCCTTTGATGCTCCTAGTTTTGTCTGTGTGGTGTTGGTGTCTCTTGTAAATCTTATGGTAACAAGATCTAGAATCAGCAATCAAATAACTCAGAGAGAAATCCCCTTTGATGCTCCTAGTTTTGTCTGTGTGGTGTTGGTGTCTCTTGTAAATCTTATGGTAACAAGATCTAGAATCAGCAATCAAATAACTCAGAGAGAAATCCCCTTTGATGCTCCTAGTTTTGCCTGTGTGGTGTTGGTGTCTCTTGTAAATCTTATGGTAACAAGATCTAGAATCAGCAATCAAATAACTCAGAGAGAAATCCCCTTTGATGCTCCTAGTTTTGCCTGTGTGGTGTTGGTGTCTCTTGTAAATCTTATGGTAACAAGATCTAGAATCAGCAATCAAATAACTCAGAGAGAAATCCCCTTTGATGCTCCTAGTTTTGCCTGTGTGGTGTTGGTGTCTCTTGTAAATCTTATGGTAACAAGATCTAGAATCAGCAATCAAATAACTCAGAGAGAAATCCCCTTTGATGCTCCTAGTTTTGCCTGTGTGGTGTTGGTGTCTCTTGTAAATCTTATGGTAACAAGATCTAGAATCAGCAATCAAATAACTCAGAGAGAAATCCCCTTTGATGCTCCTAGTTTTGCCTGTGTGGTATTTGTTTTATGTAAATATTTACGTTTTTACGTTGGCAAATTTTAATTACTCCGCTGTTTCTATTAGCTGGTGCGAGCTTGCACTCGCACTTGCTTATGTGTTATTTAAATATAAAAAAAACTCGGTACGGATCGCGCCATTCTTTTAGTTCGCTCTGAAGTTGCTTCACGCAGGTGTACAGCCCTGTCTTTCTTTTACTGTAACGCGAATTGTGCAGTGTTCAGAGCGGACTAGACGATTGGCGTGATCTGCTACAAATTGGGCTAACTTGTGTACTCCAGCTAAGAACATATCGTTGCTTAACCATCAGAGGGCGAATCACGAGTTTTGACAGCTCCATAAAGTATGGTAATCGTCAGATTTTGGTGACTGTGGCGTGTATGGGCCTCCCTCCTGGGCTGGAGCTCAAAGGAAAGATAATATTGACCGTTGAAGGGACGCGTGGGGGGACATTTCGGATAGCGCCACATGCGCCAACGCAGGCGCGATGCGAGTCAGTCATTGGCCGGGACTCGTTAACGTAAAGCCACGCGCGGTGCCTTGATTCTCTCGCGCTCGTGTGCTACCGTTAAGTTTGAAATAAGATATAATCATATAAACGTGGGGGCAGATGTTTGTGTGATGAATACGAGCATTTGTACTCCAGTCATGGATGTTTAATATTTATTTTCTATATAAATATATATGTACAGTATATGTATTCTATCCGTTACCCTAGTATCCCATAACACAAGCCTTATAGTACTTACTTTGGGGCTAGGCTAATTGGTGTGTTAAAAAAAAATCCCATGCACTTGCTTTACAAAATTGCTAAGTATTCACCTGACGGTAGCCTTAGACAAGAAGGGCCTGGATATAGGGTGCTTCCTGGGGCTGAGCTGCCCTCCGTCTGCAAAGTATACGGAGCTGAACTTATTGAAGGCGAACTGCTGCAGGTCTCGAGGCAGCTGGATGCTCTCCTCCTCCATATACACGTCTCCAGACACCTGGAGTAACAGGAATTGTTCATCATCATCATCACCATCATCATCATCAGCCTATTAATATTCCCACTGCTGGGGCACAGGCCTTTCCTATGGGCGGAATAGGGAAATTGGGCAATGAGCCACCACGCGGGCCCAGTGCGGATTGGTGGGTGCTAACGACTGCAGATGCAGCCGGGACCAACGGCTTAACGTGCCCTCCGAAGCACAGAGTAGCTCGAGATAGTAATTTTTGGTCACCCATCCAATGACCGACCACTGCGAAAGTTGCTTAAGTTCAACGATCGCAGCCGAACGCGATAACTACTTGCGCCATCGAGCTCCTCAATCTCGCAGGAATTGTTAATCATAATTATATTTTTAAAGCATTTGATTGCTAGATGTTTAAATGTAAAGAAACTTTGTGGGTTGTAGGTACAAGACGAATGTTCTCTAACATTTCTTAGGCTGCACGGCAGAACCTACAATGCGAAGAGATGGCGCTGCCGTGCAGTTTGAGAAATGTTAGAGAAAATTCGAGACAGCCATCAGGGCCGCGGTAGCATAATGATCAGTGCATTCGTCCGGATAGCGAAGGGTGCAGGTTCGAGTCCCGTCTGCTGCCTGGTCCGCGTGGATATTTTTCAGAATTTGTTTTGTTTTTTTTTATTTAATTAAAAAAACAAAAAATACTTATATAAATGTTTATTTCTTAAGTTTTTACGCAAACCACTCATTAAATAAATCAATCAATTATTTATCTGTGATCAAATCAAGTTTTTTAAATGCGTTTTTAATACTTTTTTACAGAACTCTACGTTAAATAAAGATAAACATTGTTGATACCTTCGCAAGGTTGTGGTCCGTGATGGGCTGGGAGCTGTCCAGCTTGGACAGGAGGAAGGCCAGTTCGGCGGGCACTTCCATGGCTTGCAGGCTTTCAGCGCGAGCTTTTTGAGCCTTCTGCTCTGCTGCACGGCGCCTGTGGTAAAAAACGTCATTATACAATTAAAGTTATTCATCAGTTTAATATGATTACACTTTTATATAAGAACTAGTGGCCCGCCCTCGCTTCGCTTCGGGGTAGAATTGATCAAAATCCTTTCTTAGCGGATGCCTACGTCATAACATCTACCTGCATGCCAAATTTCAGGTCGATCCGTCCAGTGGTTTGGGCTGTGCGTTGATAGATCACTATGTCAGTCAGTCACCTTTGAGTTTTATACATATAGATATTATTGATTATGGCTTCGTTTTTAGACACAGCGTATGAAATAGACTGCTTCTTTCCTAAACAACTGTCAAGTGAAACTAGGTGAAAGAGAAACGAAGCGATAGGGTTCATAAATTCGTATATTAGTTGTTTTTGTATCATTCTAGAGAGTTGCCAATTTCATGTGAATGTCGTTAAATGCACTCTATATGTAATTGTATAAAGTTTCCAGTAAGTACATATTTTAAAGTCTAAATTTTGTAATCCCGTATTAACAGTGCGTGGTACCACTTGCGCGCGAGTGACACCGCGTTTTCTTGCGTAATATCTGAACCAACAGTGTGATTTTTTTTGTTTCTTAGGTTTTCACGCACATCGCTCATTTAATAAAACTAGTTTTTACAGGTTAATGCACGTAAATAAACTCAAAATTACAATAAATAATTTTAAATAAAGTACTTTATTAAGTAAATTAAGTAATAAATTCATACATAGATAATAAAACTTTAAAAATCGAACAATGAAATAACCGAACGCTCAGTAAAAGTCTTTCGAAGGTAGCTCGACAAAATTAAATAAAAAAATATTCTGACGAAGCAGCCTGAGAAGGCTGCGAAACGTCAATAAATAAATAAAGTTTCGTGCATTAACCCGTAAAAACTAAAGAAAATATAACTAGAAAAAAATCCACGCGGACCAGGCAGCAGACGGGACTCGAACCCGCACCCTTCGCAATCCGGGTGAATGCACTGACCAATTATGCTACCGCGGCCCTCACGGACCGCGTCGAGCCATTCTTAAGCTGCAAGGCAGCGCCATCTCTTCGCATTATAGGTAACCCACAATGTCAAATGAATACTTTTACAAGTATTAAACATTTGAAAGATAGGTCCGCGTGGAATTTTTTCTAGTTATATTCTCTTTAGATTTAAACATCAAGCAGTTACATGCTTTAAAATTAATAATAATTATAACCGTAAAAACTAGTTTTATCGGTAAAACTGTACTTCCAGGGCCCAAAAGGTGATACTTATTTTTTTTTGTAGAAAAGGTCTTTTTAACAGTTTTTTTTTCTGGCGCTTCGCCGGCCGCTGCCGCGGCACGCTCGCTTTGCTCGCTCGGCTCGCGCGTTATGGTCACAACACTAACCTAACCTAACCTAGTGTGAAGTATCACCACTTGATAAGAAAAGTAAAAATTTACAATATTTTTTTCCAAAAAACTACCAGTGCATAAGTGTGACATTTTTTTTTGATAATGTGGTTAACAGAAACCTTTTTAACAACAAAAATGCGAAATTACAACCAACAAAACTGTGAAGTTTTTACTTTTGGGCCCTGGAAGTACAGTATATCCGTTTTATCTACAGTGTGAATATAGTTAGCATCGTAATACTGACTTGGCGGCTTGCTGCTGGGCATCCTGTCGTCGTCGGTGTTGTTCCTTGAGCGCGTGGAATCGTTTGCGCGCGCGCCGCCCGCGGACGATCGCCTGCGCGCGAGTGACGCCGCGTTTCACCACGTAATATCGGTGTTGTGCGCGTGCGCCGCGCCACCATGCTTGCACGCGTATTGCCGATGCGCGCAACTGGTGGTAACGTTTCCTGTACATAGAAATGCACGTTAAAGGTGGAAATATGACTTGGAAACTTAGATTAAAACAAAAAGGGTAGATACGGCACTGGCCTCACAAAAGTGATCCGCATGAATTGTGGTCCACGACCCTAATCGCTTTCGTCACAACTTGACATGTGAACGCCAAAAAGAAATATTGATAATATTTTGTGTTTATATGATAAAACAATGCCTAAGTATGTTTTTAAAAAGTGCTCAAATTGCTCAAGAACTAAAAATAAAACCCACGGCATCACTTTTCATTCGTAAGTACTATAAAATATATTTTTTCATAAAAATTGCTGTTTGTTTTGAATCTTATTCGGTAGTGACGTCGAGTACTGGTCGCGTGATTGGTCGGTAGTGCAGTGACGCGGATCTCGCCGTCTCGTTCGCGCTGCCGTTGAAACTTAACGTGCTGTTTCGCTCGGGTCGGTAATGCATTGACACGGATCTCGCCGTCCCGTTCGCGCTGCCGTGGGATCAGTTTTTGTTTGATGCAAGTATGAGCGTACCGTATCTACCCTTTTTGTTTTAATCTAAGCTTTAAAAAGGCTTCAAGTACGATATGGTAGCTCCTCTTATACATCAAAACGCCAGGTTAAAAAGGCAAATAAGAACTATAGAACATAAAGAAGGTTTAAGATAAGATCTTATATTAGATTTGCCTTTGCTATAAACTGTATGATTAAGTTGAAACTATGCACACTTAACAAGGTGTGAGAAGTGAGCTAAAGTTAATGTAAAAAAATACTAAAGAAACTGTAAAATACGCTTCTATAGCATATCGAAGTGAAACATTAAAAATTACCAGAAAATAGCCGATATTCTTTAGAGAAATTTGTTTAAAGCGTTGAAATTTTTCAGTTTATTGCTTAAAAAATCTATTTATTACACTAACCTGGCCAAATACCCGCGAACTTGTGCCTGCAGCCTGGTGGCCGCGGCGCGCAGCTTATCTGCGCGTGCGCGTTCCAGGGCGCGGTGTAAAGCCTCCCTTATGAACACTCGGGCTGCACCCAACTGGTAGTCTGCGCCAACTGGAAATTATTTTATTTATTTATATCAAATACTTATAACTATTATTACAGGTATATACCCAAGGCAATAGATATTCGTACATCCATTTATTAAAGACATTATAATACACATTTACAAACACATTGGAAAAAATAATTAATTGAAACCGATAATAATCCACTCAGCTAGTTTTGTAAATTCGCTCAGAGCACAAACGAAAACTCAGTCTCTAGTACAAGCTGTTGATGCTGGAAAGCAATTCGATGTTATTTACACGGATTTATCGAAAGCCTTTGATAGAGTCTCCCGTGAAATCTTGCTGGCAAAATTGACTATCTATGGCGTGTCTGGGTCTATAGCACTGTGGCTGGACTCATATCTTAGTGGGAGGACTTTTTACGTGGCTATTAATGGTTCTAATTCCACATCACATAGTATCATATCTGGAGTGCCACAGGGATCACATTTGGGGCCAGTTTTGTTCAACTTTTTCATGAACGGTATTCCCAGTTGTTTTCATCATTCAACACCATTTATGTATGCAGACGACCTGAAGTTTGGGAGAATAATTGATTCAGTAGCTGATTCGGTACTACTGCAGTCAGATTTGGATAGGCTTGTGGTGTGGTGTACTCAAAACCGGATGAACCTTAACCATGAAAAATGTTTTGTGGTTAATTTTACACGAAAAAAAACTAAAATTAATTGTGACTATCATATTGAAGATACGCTTGTTCAGGATAAAGACATAATAAGGGACTTAGGTGTTATTTACGATCACAAGTTGACATTTGTGCCTCATATGGAGAACATTATTAAAAGAGGATCTAAACTGCTGGGATTCTTGATAAGAAGTACCAAACCTTTTCGAAACCCAAAAACAAAAATAATACTCTATTACAGTCTTATCAGGTCTATCTTGGAATACTGTAGTGTAGTCTGGAGACCACACTATGCCACTCATTCCCTCCGTATAGAAAAGCTTCAAAAACGATTTGTGCGAGTTTTGGCATTATCCATTGGCAAAGCTAAGGAACTTGGGTCGTACACTGAAAGGCTAAAATATTTTGGAATGTTGTCCTTGACAAGCAGGCGGGAATTACTGGACATTATATTTCTTTCTAAATTGGTAAAAAACGCCATTGATTCTTCGCAGCTGCTAGCACTCTTCAAATTCCGAGCACCATCTAAAATACCGCGCAAACCAATTACACCACTTTGTCCACCCTTGAGAAGAACGGTACTTGGTTCCAACTCCCCCATTGCGAGATTATCCTATACTCTAAACAAATATAGTGACATTGTCGACATACATCATGACTCTGTGGTCTCATTGCGAAGCAAATTGTATGATCACATATTTCCTCCAAATTCATAAAGAAAAAATATAAAAATATTTTGAAACAGATTTAAAGAAACACACACACACACATACACATTTAATTTTGATTAAATAATATCTGCTTAAGCTTAATGTAATGCATGCTGAGTTCGCCAACCAACCACTTATAGGCGAACTCAGCATCTCATTGAATGTAAAATTGTATTAAATAAGATGTATTGATGTAGTAACTGTTGGTGATCCAATAAAGAGAAAAAAAAAAAAAGTCCATCTTTTCATTACTTTTGTTGATTGTGCGCAATGCACGCGTCAGTGGAGCCTCACTCAATAATTTAGTGCGTCAAGTAGGAATTACCAACAGGCCCGGCCGCCGCCGACGCCAAATGTATTCATTTGGAACACTAAAACTAATCATCCCTAGTGGGCATACTAGGGATTAAATATCTTACCCCGAAGCACCTTAAAAATATAAATAACTAGCTTCAATTCTCTCCGAACCCTAAGCTGACTATATCCAACCATACCAAGAACAAATAATGTAGGATATTGTAATGGATAAAAGGGATACACTCCATATAGTTTTAAATACATGAAATGAACATAATGTTTCAATTAATGGTGAAGTAGCTCGCAAAAGAGTTATATTACTGAAGATTATCCGTCATGTATTATAGTACCTACGCGTAACATTTCCTGGTATGAAATAGAATCGAAATCAGTTTATTCAACAATTTATGAGAAGCATAAACAATTCATGTATATTTCACATTATGTAATGAAAGGTGTCTTCATGAATCATCTCTGAAGTCATTTTTCAACTTGACGACTCTGTACATAATAAAGCAGGGAGACAATAACAGCCCTTGCTGAGTTTCTTGCCGGTTCTTCTCAGTACAAGGTCTCCCGCCGTAGATTTACGAACCGATGGCGTAGCTTCTAGTTATTCATGAGTGCTTGTAACAGCCTAAACTGAATCAATGATTTTGATTATTTAATTATTGTACGAAATCAATACACTTCTACGTACAAAATTTAAATTCAGAAATCTAGTTGCTTGAGAATGTATAAATACTAGACTTGCAACGAATATTGGTTACTATACGGTATTCGGCTTTCGGCTGCTTTTATTATATTCGGTCGAATACCGAATATCTACATATTATTCGGCCAAATACCGAATACTTAAATAATATATTTTGCCATAGAGAAATAATTGGTAAAATGACAAATTAAAATCGATTGATTACGTATATATTCATATTTTCATTTCTGTTATATAATCATTTAAGTAGTCATTGGTACATAACACAGGTACATAATCATCTTCTGAATTGGAAAAATGGAGGATTCTATGTATTTGAATTATTGTGGTAATCAAAATTTAGAAGGGTAAGGTTCTCATTTCTTTTATAATCATTTGTTAAGTAGTCAAACAAGTACATAATTTAATCATTTTCTGTATTAAACAAGTTAACAGTTTTTAATTACTTCAGTCATGTGATAAATGGTTACATAATAGAAATAATTTAAAGTTTACGCGCGTTTTTGGCCATATCTCAAAAGTTGGTTTTGTCATTTAGCCGCATTATAGCTTGAGGACGGCAGATTAGAACAAAACAAAGGAGCGCGAAACAAGTCTGTACAAGTTTTTAGCGCTAAAATCCAGCCGAATACTTTTGCCTAATATTCGGCTATTCGGTCAGGGGCCTCGCCGAATATTCGGTATACTGCCGAATATACTATTCGTTGCAAGTCTAATAAATATGAAATACCAGGGCGACACACACATACAATAATCACTTACGTAGCACCATAACTTTCAAAGATCTGCTGCGCTTTTTCACAACTTTCCACATTTTGTTTGTTCCATCTACACAACCAAACTTTCTCCTGGCCAATCAGCTGTGTAGGGTTCCGGCTGGTTCTAACTCATAAAGATAAGAGACACTACGAATTAATCTAATTTAAAGGAAATTTTGCAGGTTCCGTATAGTCATTTTATAACTTGTGAGTGAATTCCTGTCGCAAAGATAGTTGACGCGGCAAAAAAAAATTGAAATTTTCGGAAATCTTTACCGTCCTATTCTTTTATTTCTTAAGCATTTAACTGCTAGATGTTAAAATGTTTTGGTGTTTCACGTTCCTGATTGTAGTATCTGCAAACATCAGTGTCACTCAATTTCATATGAAATTGGTGTCTATTGAGTTTGCAGTGTCCAGTTAAGGTTTTTACGATAGCACGGGTGTACGGCCTGCTAAGTTCTATCAACTCAACCGTCCGTTTTTTCGACCCTCTAATAGTGATTTAGCGTACTGTAATCCTGGTTGGTTTAACCAGTATTTTTTTCGATTCGCTTAGAAGATCGTCCTTAATAATTTGCATAGCATGGTTTCTAGGGATGCCACAGAAAGGTTCTAGTCCCGTCTGTGGCCCCTGTGCCCTTACTCTTGCTAATTCATCAGCTTTCTCGTTGCCAATTAGCCCTGAACATTATGGTGTAATTAAAAGTTGTATATTTATTGGTCATCTTTATACTCATAAAACTTTATTACAAGCCCAAGGAACCCTATAAATAAAACTATATCTACATCACGCTTATTGTTTTATTATCAAAGTCGATTAATTAATAGACGAAGCTATTAGACGAGCTAATATTACCAAAATATTATTATTTCGAGAATACTCTAATCTCATAGAACACACACTGTTGAAAAAAAACGACGGGTTGCACCCCGAGAGTGCCGGCAGAAGTGAAAACTTGAATATTAACGTTGTGCATTTTTGATATTTTTGAATGGTTAGGGAATAATTTTGCACGAATTGCTTTAATTATCAGTATAAAAGTACTAACATGTATGTGGTAGAATAAAATATTTATTTATTACGCTATCGTACATAAACATGACAATTTATATTACATTAAGAAAGTTTCTCTCTCAGAAAAATCAACTTACATGAATCACGTTTAAGCGCACTTAGCGACATCTATTGTAAAGAAATCAACTTACATGAATCACATTTAAGCGCACCTAGCGACATCTATTGTAAAAAAATGCATTTTCTTCGCAATAAAGCTGCCACGTGGACGTCCTAGATAGATAAGAGACTTATTATAATAATACGATAAAATAAAATATTACTATATTTCGTCCAATATATTGAAAGTCAACAACCTTTCCAATTTTATTGTGTGTCATGATGCGATCAGCCCACGTGTTTAACCTGACGCGAGGTTAACATTTTTTACCCATACAAAAAAAGTGTACAACGCCGCTAAAGAAGTTTTCACTTCAAAAATGGTTTAGAATTCATTTGAAATGTGTCAATAGGTCATTTATTGAAAACTCTGCACCATGATAGCAATGTGGGCGGGAGTCATTTAAATACAATGTGGTTAATTCGATGTTAAGATTACGGTGTGTGGTTACGAGATTCTTATTATAATTTACATGTAATGGTGTTTTAACTGTGCGAGTGATTGACGTAATTGATGCGAACATTTGAATATGACTAACTAGCTGTGCCCCGCGGTGTTACCCACGGTTTATTAGGGAAAATAAATTGTGTATTAACAGTAAAAATAATAACTATTCACATCATCGATTTTCCCATTGGAATAAGATAATTTCCCGCAGTAAAACGTAGCCTTTGTGTTAATCCACGGTGTCAGCTAACTCCATGCCAAATTTTATTAAAATCGCTCCAGCCGTTTAGACGTGAAGAAGTAACAAACATACACACTCACAAACCTTCGCCTTTTTAATATTAGTGTGATTTCGATAGGGATGCATACGATACATTGATGTTTGTAAAACATCGAGGTATCGGTCATAAACATCGATGTTAACATCGATGTTTTGATGAGCAATATATCGTCGATACATCGTTCACTACATTCACAAACATCGACATCGTTCTTGTCTGTTCGAATTTTCGGAATCACTATGACGTTCGCTCGCATTGCATTGTTGTGCTGACACGTAAAGCGTAGATGAATTTGATTAAATATAGGTAATTTGATTCTTTGACTACATACCTATACACATTTTGGATTTCTTCATTGGATGAGTAATGTACTCGTTGTATTAATTTATAAAGTAGTTAGGTTATATGGTTTGTTTTTTCGTTATATTTTTGAAGGCGGTACGTGAAAAGTGAGCGTATATTTTTTAGGTTAAAAGAAATTGACAAAACAAATAGCTTGTTGAGTAAAGTGAACTTACAGTTGATATATTTATTTCTATATTTGCCTAATTTAATGATGAGAATCATTTTGTTTTAATTTAATTAACCATCATGTAATTCTAATTTTTATTACCGTTTAAGCATCGAGCATACTTTTACCGAATAGACTTGTTTAAAAATAAAATCTAGTTTTTAATTACTTTTAAAACATTTAGGTACATTTGGAAATACCGCAAGAAGCTGACACATAAAAACATGAAAGATAAATCATCTGCTACAGATATGTCACTCAACAGAGAAATAGCCTGTTAGGGTCTAGATTATCTAAGCTTATTTTCCTTAACTCTGTTGCAAGATTGATAAATTCAAAATAAATAATGCTTATGTAATAAAATGTGTTTAAATGTAATCAAATGTGGATGCTAGGTTAATGAAGCATCCATATTAAAAATATAAAACATCGGCAAACGCATCGATATATCGCTCTTATCAACGATACTTTTGAACATCGATGTTTTTATGCAAACATCGATGTTTTTCAGAACGATGTTGCATCCCTAGATTTCGACGACATCATACTATTAGCAACAACAATTGGCATTGTTTTTTTTCGGCGTTTTTGCCAAATCTCAATGGCTGCATTGCAAATATAATTAACATTGAAGTTACAGATAATACGGAATGCTTAGTTAGTAGAATGGGACTGCAACTGGCATTTCACAAGTTTTTTTTTCTTTCAAACTGCATCTGTGATGCGCTCTGACCATGTAATTTATATATTGCTTGAAGATTGTATATTGTTTTAAACTTTCATGGTCACTAGGATATAGGATAGGATCACGTAGTAACTCCGTGATCATGGCGCTTGCAACATTGCCAAAATATCGGAAACTCGGTTAAAAACAAGGTACATGGTAACAATCCCGTAAATCTATATATATAAAACTCAAAGGTGACTGACTGACATAGTGATCTATCAACGCACAGCCCAAACCACTGGACGGATCGGGCTGAAATTTGGCATGAAGGTAGATGTTATGACGTAGGCATCCGCTAAGAAAGGATTTTGATCAATTCTACCCCCAAGGGGACAAAATAGGGGATGAAAGTTTGTATTAAACTTTGTCAATTTTAAACCGTTCGGGCTGAGACTTTGCATGCAGGTATAAGAAGAATCATAGATGAATGTCATCGTATATAATACAAGCCTAAGAACAAAAACTGTAGTCTACACTTCAACTCTACACCGAAGCGAAGCGAGGGCGGGAAGCTAGACACTTATATTACTATAATAGTTTGAAGATTATGAGTAATATTTGAAAGGTTTGATTGAGTGAGTACTTACCAGCACCGGTGGGTGGCATCTCGGCAAGGATTGAATTGCAAATCTCTCTGTAGGGAGTGGCGCGAGCCGGCGTCGACTTCAGCAGATACCTGCCACAACAATACTGCTGGGTTATTTACTGTTCATGCAAATACGACAAATTGTGTAGGCTGATGAATTTCACAAATAACAATTGATTGGTTTAGCTGACTTATTGACTGAATTGTTTATTTATTTATTTTATTTATTTAATCTTTAATGCCTTTACATTGCATATGGCGGACTTAATGCCAGCATGGCATTCTCTACCAGTCAACCGGAAAAAACGTGCAGAGTCAATAAAACGGCAGACAATCATAGGAAAGAGCAAACATCAAACAATGAAAAACAAAATTAAATAGCGTTTAATACATACACATACATAGAAACATAAATATACATACATACACACACATATATACATAATATACCTATAATATAGTGTCCGATTTTAGTATCCCGATTCAACTTAAGCACTATGCAACAAATTCATATAATGTTCCCGCACCAAACTCTTAAACACCGTCCTGTTTGGAGCGTTTCGAACGTCTAGAGGAAGTGCATTCCAGCAAGCAGCTCTGCTCTATGAAATGTTATGAAACTGCATGCGCAGCGGTCGGCCGCTCCACGCCCCCGCTTAACGCAGCGCAGGCCCTAAGGGGCTTGCTGACTATTTGCTATAATATTATATAAGAAACTAGCTGACCCAGCGAACTTCGTACCGCCCTAAAAAAATAGGGGTTGTCCAGCGGACAAAATTGTGAATCTAAACCATTCTCAGATCCCCTTGAACACACACAAAAAATTTCATCAAAATCGGTCCAGTCTTTTAAGAGAAGTTCAGTGACATACACACTCACAGAAGAATTATATATATAAAGATTTGTAAACATGCACATGACTTGTGTAAGTTAGGTTAGCTTTTCCGGAATTGTTTACAAAATTTTATGTAAAGGTTATTATTAAATGCCATTACCATGTTTCTGAAATTAATTAACCAAAGTAATTAATAGTAGCAACAAATTTCAAATCAAGGTTGATAATTGTGAAAGTTTGTAAAACTTATTTCACGTATAGTAAATGAGTTGATGATCTTTCAACTTTGATCTTTGAACTTGAAAAGACATTATAGCTAAGAATCAAAGCTAGAAAACTTGCTTACGGATAATAAAATGCACCTTAAATCGGTTACGCGTTACGAGTTACCGTGCCGAAGGCAAGACATAGCGGTCAAACTAATAACATTTTGCATCAGGGTTTAAAACTGCATCACACACACTCCAGAAAATGACAGATCAGCTTTTATAAAAGGCCATTTTCAATATGAAAGAATAGGGATGATGACTAATTTATTTTTAAAGAAAAGTTTACTAGAAAAAAATCCACGCGGTCCAGGTAGCGGACGGGACTCGAACCCGCATCCTTCGCTATCCGGGCGAATGCACTGACCATTATGCTACCACGGCCCTATTAGCCGCGTCGAAATTTTCCTAGCCTTAAGCTGCAAGGCAGCGCCATCTCTTCGCATTGTAGGTAGGCCGTGGTAGCATAATGGTCAGTGCATTCGCCCGGATAGCGAAGGATGCGGGTTCGAGTCCCGTCCGCTGCCTGGTCCGCGTGGATTTTTTTCTAGTAAACTTTTCTTTAGATTTAAACATGTTAAATGCTTAAAAAATAAATAAGATCATAATTTTTTTTTCTTCGTTTATCAGGTAGATTATCAAAAAGTATTGGACACGTATTTTTTCTTTTTTCAGTTCATATAAACATTGCAGAGATATATTGATTTGAAAAGTCGCATGACGTCACGTCTGAGTACACTTATAAGTGAAAATTCACTCAAAAGTGACGTCACGAGCCCCTACTCCCAAACTTGGACGCGCTATAACTTTGTCATTTTTTGGTTGATTGCCCAAAGAAAAAATACGTGTCCATTATCTTTTTGATCATCTAACTGACGGACTAAATAGAATTTCGTTTACTGTACCCCGTCATCACTCCTATTTATATAGATAGAGAAAATTTCAATGGTTTATTACCGATATCTGTCCACGAAGTTCTGGAATGGTATCCTGATGGGGTAGCCGGTCTGTCGGATCTTGATGGTGTCCAGCATGCCGGTATACCTCAGCTGGGCCAGCACGCAGGGCATGTCGAACCGCATGGGCGACTTGTCCGTATTGGGCTTGAGGCAGCGAACGAACCACGGGTTGCAGCGGGACATAGATTCTAGTAGTTGGTGCAGGCTGTCCGAGAACCTGCAAGAATAATGGGTTTTTTATAAATCGTTGTAATTTTTTTTTTATGTTATAGGGGGCATACGAGCAGACGGCTCACCTGATGGTAAGTGATAACCGTCGCCCATGAACACTTGCAACACCAGGAGTATCACAAATGCGATGCCGGCCTTTAAGGAAGGAGTACGCTCTTTTTTTGAAGGTTTTTAGGTCGTATTGGTCCGGAAACACTGCTGGCGACAATATATTCCACAGTTTTGTCGTACGTGGTAAAAAATTTCGACAAAAACGAACGGTTGTGGATAGCCACGCATCAAGATGATGGGGATGAAATTTTTGTCGCGATGTACGATGGCGAAATGCAGCAGCTGGAATTAATCCGAACAATTCCTCAGAACACTCCCCGTATTAAATATTGAAAGGTCTCGAAAAGACGGTAACAAATAAATAAGGCACAGAGTTATTTTTCGTCTGGGGAAATTAATAGGACAACGCTTATTATTTTTACCTGATGCACTACATGTTAAATGCGAAATATTGAGGTCCGCGTGGCAGTATCTTGTTGCTGTCGTGCTGCTGGCCACCAGGTTATATGTGTGCACATTGATAAAACCCATAATAATTAGTGTATCTCTTATCTAATAGACAAGTCCGTCCGTCCGTCCGTGGTGCTGTTTCAGCGGTCAAACCGTAAGAGATAGATATAGAGAATGTTCAAGTTATAAGTTAAGAATAGTCTGACAAGACTACAAACCGGATGTGAGTAACGTAGCACTTCCGGTTTTCGAGAAATCACGTGATTTCTATTTCAAACGAAACCACGCAAAATCTCCGAAGTTCTCTTTTTGGTGAACATTTGGTTCACTGGTTTGCTAGTACCTATCTATTTTGCTATTTCTTAATTAAATTGTTGCAGTTTACTCCTTAAGAATCGATTTGCATATATAAGGGGCCCCGGTATGAGAAAAATGTGAGGAGTAAAATCTATCGATGAATGACCTCGTTACGTTTCTGGTGCGCATCCTATGTCGCGCAACTTTCTAATTTGGTTGTTAGTGTAGGGTATAGGGACACGTGCATAGGGTATACTGTAAAGCGACTATACCTATATGTTATTGGGTTTGTTTATTTATATATGTATATTATTTTCATTAATTTGTTAATTTACCCTTTCATACAGTATCAATCTTTTTTAAGTTAAATAAACTCTTTTTGCGTCTGGTTAGACTATCGAACTTAAGGAGTAAACTCCAATCGTGCGTCGGAGCTGACACACACAATTTTTTATTTTTCTTTATATTCATGTTACAGCGTCAGCAGATTAATTTCCACATACGTTGAATCGCTGGAAATGCAACACACATCCTTTCAATAATTAATTTTATTAGATTCATTATTATATGAACCGGCCTCCATCGCGGCGCTGCCAATAGTTGTACCTATAGGAAAAGTTATAAAATAAAGTATTTTTTAAACTCCTATCTCGGCTCTGCTTTAACTTGCGCAGATATTTCTACCACGGGCCTAATCCTCACCTGGCAGCCACAGTGGGTGCGTGGTCCTAGGCTTCACGGTAACAAAGCATCCATTAAGTCCTCGTGGCAGCGTCTTGTTGCTGTCGTGCTGGGCTCGCAGCTGCGCAGTCATCTCTGCTACTAGCGGCACCTCGCTGCTGCACAGCAGTTCCAGCAAGTCCCGGGATGAGTATCCTGATCCTCACCTGGCGGCCATAGTAGGAGCCCTGGGCTTTATGGTGACGAAGCGTCCGTTGTGTGCCTTTGGTAGTGTCTTGTAGCGCTTTTGTTACCATCTGTGCCGGAGTATCCTGGTATTCACCTTTTTTGTGTCTGGAAAATGCCTTACGCATCCTTCAACCACTGGGGGAGCGAGAAGAAGGTATGTGGGACTCCTCCCTGTCCCCTTCAGCCAGCCCTGGAGCTCGCTGATGTGAACAGGGCCCTACCTACGCCCTGAACAGTGCCACTAAAAACCAGACAATACTCCTGCACCGTCACCCGACACGCACTATGAGGACCGCGGTCCGTACTGCGTGCCGTGCGGGCGGGTGTGGCCGCGGAACCCGTTTCCGATTGGCCGCGCACCAGGCCAATCCTGGTTATTTCAAATTCACCTAGCAATCACAGTGGGCTTTCTAGGCTTCATGGTAACAAAGCGTCCTTTGTGTCCTCGTGGCAGCGTCTTGTTGCTGCTTGCTGGGCCCGCAGACATCCTGGCCACTAAGAGTATTGTAGCGTGGCCAGAGCCCGTGCTGAGATTTGTGCAGCAGCTGCCGCCTGTGTCTCACTTTGTATTCTTATCAGTATCTGTTTCATCATCAGCATCATCAGCCTATTAATGTCCCCACTGCTGGAGCACAGGCCTTCCCTATGGATGGAATAGGGAGATTGGGCCATGACCCACCACGCGGGCCCAGTGCGGATTAACGTGCCTTCCGAAGCACGGAGGAGCTCGAGATAGTAAATTTTTGGTCACCCATCCAATGACCGACCAAATGCGAAAGTTGCTTAACTTCAACGATCGCAACCGAACGCGCTACTCACTTGCGCCATCGAGCTCCTCTAGTATCTGTTTACCTAAGAAGATCTGGCATAGTATCGTTACCCTCACCTGGCAGCCACAGTAGGCGTCCTGGGCTTCATGGTGACGAAGCGTCCGTTGTGTCCTCGTGGCAGCGTCTTGTTGCTGTCGTGCTGGGCTCGCAGCTGCGCAGACATCTCTGCTACCAGCGGCACCTCGCTGCTGCACAGCAGTTCCAGCACATCGGCACGCAACGCGTCGCGGTTCTTGTCCAGAAAACCTTCTACGTTGTACCACACTTGGCCCGCGTAATGTTTGATCTGAATGGCAATTAAGTCGATATATATGTGTGGGTATATGTCATATTTCTTATGTGAAAAAATTTTAGCCGTGTTTTGTGTGGTGAATTAGTAAACGTACTATTACTGTAGATACATTTAGTGTACTGTAGGAAGAAATAGCATTGTTCAAATCTAAATTGTAGATGGGAAAGATCAGAAACCAAAAAAGACACACTCAAGAAGAATACTCTGTTTGAGACAAAGGTGAAATATTTTGTTTTGAAATATCTGGATAAATCATTTACCAGCAAACCATAGCATACTTTGGTTTACAATTGAGGATATTAACAACTCACCCCAAATTCATTCGCTCCCAGTCTCGGTCTAGAGTACAGCTCATTCAGAGCGTGGTTGTAATGGCACTTCTCTAGGAACGAGGCGTCGGACGCACGAGGGAAGTTGCTCTCATCGTCCAGAAGATGCAGAATACCCACAGGCTTCTTACTCAACAGTTGAATCACTAAAAACAGCATTACCACCAGTAAGTTAAAAGTAACTGACAGCTAATGACAGTTATATTGAAAATTCTAGCGATACAAACCTGGAGAGTTATCATTCCATGTCAAATTTGACCATTCCAGACGTTCCTTTTGATACTCCTGCTGCTCTAGTTTAAATATGTGCTTGTTGAAGTAATGCTGCAGTGTTTCGTTAGCGTAGTTAATACAAAGTTGTTCGAACGAGTTCTCTTCTAAATCTTCAAATCCGAAGATGTCGAGAAGAGATATACGATGCGCGTCGTGCAGTCCTGCGCGGTGGACTATTGAGTTTATTCTGAGGACTAGCCAATTAAACAGGGATGAGTATAGTGCTTTAGCGAATGCGTCTCTCGCGTCCAAAGCTTGGTCTATGGGTAGGGGAGACCTCATGCGCTCTGCTCTCGCCGCTGTTACTCTGGTCGTTAAAGCCCTTGCTAATGCTTCCGCGGGTACTTTCAAGAGATGCGCCGCCCATCGCACTTCTGCGCCTCCACCCAACTGCACTCCCTCCTGTCCGTGACGCAACTGCCTTCTATGAAAGTAAACGTTTCCTAAATGTAAGACAGCAGCTAAGACACGAATAATATCTTCTCTCTCGGAATCACCAATACCCAGGACTTGCATAGCTCCACACAGGGCTGACCAGTCAGCGCCAGCGCCTGCGCCGCCAGAGTCGCCTCCTTGGTTTAGATAGAAGTAATGCTCTGCCGTCAGTAAACCTCTACTCTTCCTTTGTTCTTCGTCTAACCCGGCTAGTATCTCATAGAAAACGTGGTAGTTCCTTTCACCAGGCGATTGGGTTACGATGCGAGATTTCTCCAATAAATAATGGGCTACTCTCGCGCCGGCCAACGCGCCATCCTTGAAGTATAGTTCGAGGAGTTTCCCGAATCGACTAGAATTGTGGTTTTTTGGTGTCCTCGCGTTTCCGAACGCCTCGAGGAGTGGGGCCGCTTCTAGGATTTGTTCGGAGACCGGCGCTCTGCCGGGAGGGGCCGGGGCAACTGCGGCGAGGAACTGGACGGCCAGCTTGGTGGATTCAGTCTTGCCAGCGCCGGACTCGCCGGAGATGAGTATGGCTTGCGGCTGCGGCAGAGATGCGCGCGCAGCGGCTGCTATGGCAAACAGGTGTGGTGGTAGATCCCCTAACGCTTCCGCTGCGTGGTACCTGAAACAAAACATATTGCTCGCTATAATATACTTAATCTCGCTTGCGAGGGTTTCGAACATTAGACTGTTACTAGTAGCCTAAATTTATAAGTTGATGTGTGGGTCATGGAACTTAATTCATTATATATGCAGTCAATTTTCAGTCTGATTTTACTGAGACTTTTACCACATTATCTGTACATTTACTGGCCTGGATGATGTTCCAGTGGTACAACCGACAATAGTATAGTATAGTAGTATAGTACATATAGTGCGATTCAAACATTGCTCGCTGCTGGCCTTCACAGTGAGTGCAGGTATCAGTTCAGTACTCTTAGTACGAGTTTTACAATTACGAAAACTATGATAGTTTTCGTGAGCTCGCACTCGTACTAAGGGTACTGATTTTATTGTTTTCGTTTCAATACAAATAAAAGGTGTTTAAATTCTATCATTAAATCATTTGCGTCTTAAATTTTAAGTACCTATATTCGGTTACTATTCATCAAAATGGACATAGAAACATAATTTACAATTACGAAAACTATGATAGTTTTCGTGAGCTCAAACTCGCACTAAGGGTACAGTGATATTTCGCGCGCAGCTAAATCACCCTCCATTTTGTTTACTGCGCCGTGACTTGCGCTAACTTAACCTCCTCTCTCCCTCGTCTGGCCTGACCGGGATCATGGCCACCTGGATGGATCCGGCGTACGTATAGATGAGGCCTTGCTCGTAGTCGGGGCGCAGCTTCAGATTCCAGAGCGTTTTGTTAACAGCGCCGCGACTTGCGCTAACTTCACGGCAATACAATCGTAGTATAACTCACCTCCTCGCGGTCTGCAGTCCATACAGCGCATCGACCGGCCTGTACGGGTTGACGGCCACCAGAATGGATTCAGCGTACGTGTAGAAGAGGCCCTGCTCGTAGCGTAGCTTCAGGTTCCAGAGCATTCCAGTCACTACACCGCAACTTCCTAACTTCACGGCAATACAATCGTAGTATAACTCACCTCCTCGCGGTCTGCAGTCCATACAGCGCATCGACCGGCCTGTACGGGTTGACGGCCACCAGGATAGATCCGGCGTACGTGTAGATGAGGCCCTGCTCATATCGCAGCTTCAGGTTCCAAAGCAGGGCCGCCTCGTGCAGGTCGTGGAGGCGGGTCATGTCCTCCACGCCGGCGGGACCCAGCTCCTCGCGCGGCCATACGGGGTCGCCCTCCTCTTCGCCGTTGCCCATCTGGAGCGCGAAGGTTTGGGACTGCGGAAAAAATATTCGTTATTAAAATAAACTGACTTGTTATGCAGTCACGCAGTCACAGATAAACATTGGGACAAGCAAAACACTACCCTTTTGAGATATATTCTTCTTTATAATTATGTATATTTATATGTATTCTCTTCTTATTTATATTTTTTTTTTACTTTTTTTTAAAGCATGTAACTGCTTGATGTTTAAATCTAAAGAAAATATAACTAGAAAAAAATCCACGCGGACCAGGCAGCAGACGGGACTCGAACCCGCACCCTTCGCAATCCGGGCAAATGCACTGACCAATTATGCTACCACGGCTAGCTTAAGAATGGCTAGAATTTCGACGCGGTCCGTGAGGGCCGCGGTAGCATAATTGGTCAGTGCATTCGCCCGGATTGCGAAGGGTGCGGGTTCGAGTCCCGTCTGCTGCCTGGTCCGCGTGGATTTTTTTCTAGTTATATTTTCTTTAGATTTAAATAGATAGGTAGTATAAAATATACATTCTTTGATTATTTACTCTCAATATTCAAAGTAAGTAGGTATACATTATTGTACAGGTTTTACATAAATAATTCGCTTTATAGGCAGTGTATAAATTACGATATTTGTCTATTTCTAGAGTAAAAAAATTGTTTTAAGATGAATTCTGATAGCAAATCAATTAATTATATGTATCACAGACACATACAATATGAAAGTGGGGCTAGGGTCGAGCTCGTATATGAAGAGTTCCGTACTATCCATAATAAAATGAAATTTGCAATACAACCTTGTCACAAATCTACTGCCAACGATTGTGTAGACTTATTTTTATTAGGTATAAAAATATATACCTATACTAGCTGACCCAGCGAACTTCGTACCGCCCTAAAAAAATAGGGGTTGTCCAGCGGACAAAATTGTGAATCTAAACCATTCTCAGATCCCCTTGAACACACACAAAAAATTTCATCAAAATCGGTCCAGTCGTTTAAGAGAAGTTCAGTGACATACACACTCACAGAAGAATTATATATATAAAGATATATATAAAACTCAAAGGTGACTGACTGACATAGTGATCTATCAACGCACAGCCCAAACCACTGCACGGATCGGGCTGAAATTTGGCATGCAGGTAGATGAAATGACGTAGGCATCCGCTAAGAAAGGATTTTGATCAATTCTAGCCCGAAACGAAGCGAATTTTTAATATTTAACTGTTACGGTTATGACATACGGCCTGTTGAAAAACAGGTTAAGAAATAGAGTACCTTTGCTTCGTTTAACGTTTTATTAATTTATGTGTAACTTAACCAAATAATTCACGAATAACCATTGATATGGATGAATGAATCAAATGAGTAAAGTGTGTCAGTTGTACCTAATTACTTCAAGGGCGGTGCAATGCCTTTAATTAAATATTTGAAATTAAACCTGTAATTGAACTGTTACGGTAGCAAATATTATGATATAACGGATTGATAAAAAAGATATTGTGTTATGACAACAAAAACCATTATCAATCGTGAGTTTATTATTTCACTTGCACAATTTCCGCCTGGCTCACTCATGAAAGTAACGAAACTGCGAACAACAAACGGAAAATTATGATATCGCAACTCAACCAACAGGCCACCGCAACTGTGACATAATGGTATGACCAATGTTGCCAGCTCTCCAGATTTTACAGGAGATCTCCTGTTTTTCTGAAATTTCTCCTGTTCTACTGTTTTTCTACATGAATCTCCTGTTTTTCTAAGAATTTTCTGTTTACAATTTTATTGCATGTTGGGTTGTATTTTCCGCCATTAATAATGTAGGTAACCATAATAATAAAATAAATGTTATTGTCTACAAAAAGCTTTGAGGGGCGTTAGATGCCACAGAAACACATTCATTAGTGGTCTTTATCTTAATCTGATTTACCAATTCTAGGGGGGGGAAGGGGGGCAAATCGGAAAAAAGTACGCCTCTGCATATCTACTGTTTTTCTTGTAGCTCTTTCCGTACAGCCACTGTTTTTTTCTATAACACCACCCGATTTTAATCGGACCTAGCAACACTGGATATGACTTAGAATTTGTGGTTTTTTGGCGGGATTTCATCGAGTGTGGTTGGCGTCTTATTTTAATTATTCTTAAATTCGTTCATAGTGGATATTGTGAAATAAAATTGGTGTGATTTTGTATTACAACTGTCTGCGTAACTGAAGAATTAGTAGAATCGTCAAAATATACGCTATTCCGGTCAAGTGGACGTGGGAATTTTATTGTAGTATTGACTACCTCACAGAAGCTTATCGCAAAAGCCAGCTCGATACATTTCGCGCCAAACACTTCAAGAAACATTAGAATGTGTCACACCGACATTCTAATGTAAAAAGAAAAACAGAATAATTTAACTTAAGACTAGGCTGTATGGGCATTGTTCCCCTTGCCTTCCCTGAAAAGGGAGAACTTAACCAAAAAAAAAAAACTTAGAATTTGTACCAAGAGACCCAGTTTTCTGTCATGACCTACGCCTTTCGCTACCAAGATCACTGTTTGTGATTCACTCCGCTCGAGCTGTGGACATTATTACGAGGTTACTTACTGTATAATGCGATTCAACTAAGAATAGGACAGACTGAGCGCCATATTCTGATGTCGTAGCTGTCAATTCAAACCAAATAGGTAGAGTGAGCAAAAAAAGTTTTTATTTAATAAAACTTATTTACTAAGATTAAGTGTGAAAAAGCATCAGATTTTTTTAATAACATTTAATTACTCATATTGAGAGAAAAAAACCCACCGATTTTTAATAATATTATTTTATTAAGACTGTGAGAAAAAACATTAATCAGAATCTAACTCTTCTATTCCGCTCATTTCCTGCATCCTTTATGTAAACGAAAGTTTAAAATCGAGTTTCTGAACGCAACTTAAAGTGACATTTGGTGGACGATTTAGGTTCATAAAGCTCAATAAGTGTAAAAAAAATATTAACCGATATTAATTATCAATATTTGTTATTGTTTCTTTACAAATGTTTGGTTTATATTCTTGAATTAGCGGAGTGCTAAAAAAGGGTTCCAAGATTTTTTTTGCAAACCGTACTTTTCAAGCGACATTTGACAGATAGAGGTCATTGGCTTTCCTATTCTTGTTTGAATCGCATTATAAGAGCAGTAAAACGCTTGTTGATTTTTTAATGCGTGAATTGTTGTCATGGTTAGATTCTTAGCTGATTTGCATAGTCGTGGCTAAGCGACCACGCGCGGGACGTTACGGTCGAGTAGGCAGGACGGTTCGCGGGCTGATTGGTTCTGTAACTGTTATGTGACCCTCATTGAGCGTTCGGTTTATTATAATACTAGTGGCACGGCCTAGCATCGCTTCAGTGAAGACTATAGATTTGTGTATAAACCTTCACTTAAAAAAATATTAAACTGATGGTTAGAACCAGGGCTTGTTTACCGGTTAATTTTCAAACCTAAATCAGTGTCATGTACATTAGGAGCGTTTTATTTAGGTTTGGCTCTATCTTAATCTTAAAAAACCGGTTTTTCTAAAGAGCGAAATCAAAGAGGTTTTGAATCAATTTCATTTCGCTCTTTCCGATGGTATCGTTAATAAATGAATAACTTGACTCACTAGACGCTAGCAAACGTGTCAATAAATGCATCAATCTCTGAGCATTAACAAGTTGCGACTTGATTAGTTCAATCAAAACAAACTTCAAGCGATGCCGACGCGTGCACGTAGCACTCTGGATTAAACCGGTTTATTAAGGTTTTAGGTACCGCTTTCATGTCGGACGCGTTCCGAACGAAACCTTTACTAACGCTCCGACCTTTACTGAAAACCGGTTTAACATTTATTTACCGGTATTTTTGAAACCGGTTTCAAGCCCTGGTTAGAACTGCATCTATGTCCGATAAGTACTTGCTTTTGGAGATTGTAAATATTATAAGTGTGTTCTTATTAAATTTCACAACAGGATAAGCACAGCTCGCAAAAAAGCAGAAGGCATACTAATAGGGTCATCCTTTTGGTACAAAATCTAACAAAAGTTATCTTATAGCTATTAACGGGATTGTTAGCATGTACCTTGTTTTTTATGAGTCTCCCATATTTCGGCACTGTGTAGTAACACGGCGTTACTCCGTGATCATGGCGCTTGCAACAATGCCGAAATATCGAAGACTCATAAAAAAATAAGGTACATAACAATACAATCCCGTTAATAGCTTTTAATGTTAGTGACCATGAAAGTTTAAAACAATATAAAAGTTATCTTCTCACACCGCCCTTTCAATAGCGCATAAAAGGGTAACGAATAAAAAAAAATCATGAATTACATTATGCACCAAGAAGTCCAGACAGAGATGCTTGAGCGAAAGCGGTTCAGTGGGTCGGTGTAAGCGGCGTAGCTTAGCGCTTGATGAGCTGGAAACTCCGCTCGCCGACCTTGACAGTGACACGGCAGAAGACGACGACTTCGGCGATACTGACGACATTGAGGACACGCCTCGACGCTGCCGTCTCGACACGTTGCGATTCCCCGATGAGTACGATGCGCACGAGTTGCAAGATGCGCAAGAGTTGCAAGATAAGCAAGACGCACAAGAGACACAGGATACATGAGAGGACATGGATTCGCTATCTGGGGAACTGCGCGGTGTCGGCGCGAACCGTACTCGCATAAGTATTCTTTAGTTAGGTAAGTAGATTGTATTATGGGCTATCACATTTTAAAACGAAAAGATTGCGCCTCCTTGAATCAATGAGATGTCCAAATTTTAAGTAAGTTCATCTGTGATTTGATTTTGGTTACGAAGCAACAGCATTATGGCGTCGTCACCAAAATCTTCAAACCTAAATATGCCTTATTTTAAAGCACAAAATCTGTGCCTTATTTTAAAGGCGAACGTGGGTGGTTCTACTCGCAAGGAAATTTTCCGCGGCTCACCTTATTTTATATAGTTTTTGTGGGCAAATTATATTCATTAACGATTGAAACTGTCCAACAAACGGTTTCTAATATGGCACTAAAAATTTGCTTAGTCCTAAATATATATCTTCCAAAAATTGTACTTTAGAGTGCCAAATTCTCAGTCTCCTGGCATATCTCTCGGCCAAAATCAAAGTTTAAAGGCTGCATCCTTAGATTAAAACAAAAAAGCGCTTTTTTGTTTTAATCTAAGGCTGCATCATAACTTTATTTTAAATATGTACATAATATCTATACAAAAAGAAATGTATAATTTAAATAGTTTTAATGTGTTTGTCTCATTTTACGTTAAATGCGAAACTTTTTCGAAAAAAAGTGCATTATATTTATTCTCGCTCGGTTTTTACCTCAGTCTCCAGCTATATCAGAACACATTAAAATCAGTTTAGATTACTGCGTCTAGCGCTGTGCAGTTAGTTCTGAGTAAAAGAACAAAATGAAATTAGCTTACAAACACTCGCGTCTTAGCTCGCGGTTGACTTGGCGCTACGGCGAGTTGTATAAGGTTCTGCTGTGGCCAGTGAACTTAACAATATCCTGGCACGTATTTATTTAGAAAATCTCAGTATCCTGTCCTCAGTCTCCAGGAAACATAATAGGAAGAAGTCGATTTGCTCGGAATCTAATAGAGTAATCAAGTAAAATTTGGTACATACATGTATGTCTGTGACCCAAACACGGACAAATAAAGTAAATAAATAAATTCCGATTTACTATGTTTTAATTTTCGATCAATACTCAGTCTCCTGGGCCCATAATTTTTTAAATGAACATAAATTTGGTATAATTTTTTTTTGACTTGCCCGATTGATATCAGTATGAGAACGCCCCAAGGTAGACGTCAAGACATTTTCTAACCATAGACCCCAAAAAAAATATGCCAAAAATCACTTCATTTATCATATTCGTCCCTCCTAAGTAGAACTACCCACGTTTACGACGACACCATTGATTCGGAACTTAAATAGTAGGTGAGGCACATATCTGCTTCATTTAAATTCGCAATGACACACGATATTCCCAAAGGTAAAACACTGGAAACACAACAAAACAGTATTGAATATATATGCACTACGGATGCTGCTCAACAGACAGCTGGTCAGCGGGAACTGATTGCACCACGTATAGTACACTTCAGTATACTTGATGGCTGGCACTGTTATAGAACGTACAGGTTGATAACGGCGACTACTACCCGCTACACACACAAGGATCCAGAACTGGTTGTCTAGGCATCATAGACAGATTAAGTAGGTAAACTGACACCAAAAGCTTATTAGGGTTCCGTACCTCAAAAGGAAAAACGGCACCCTTATACGATCACCTTATTGCCCGTCCGTCTGTCAAGACCGTTTTTCTCAGGAACGCAGGGAGTTATCGAACCGAAATTCATATCTAATACTCAGGTCTAATGTCCCTTGGAGCTGTGAAAAAATCAAACTTCTAAGCCAAAGCAATCAAAAGATACAGCCGTTTATAACGCAAATTTTCGAAACTCGCACGGGAATCAAAACCTACTGGGTAGGTACTACCCGTGAACTTAGAATCTTTAAATTTGGTACGAAGTAACGTCTTATAGTACAGATGAAGGAAAAAATGCGAAAGCCGTTAAAGATATTTTTGAATATTCAGGTTTGTACGGAACCCTCGGTGTGCGGGTCCGACTCGCACTTCGCCGGTTTTTTTTTCATATAAAATTGACATAAAGTTCCTTAAGAAAATATAACTAGAAAAAATTCCACGCGGACCAGGCAGCAGACGGGACTCGAACCCGCACCCTTCGCAATCCGGGCGAATGCACTGACCAATTATGCTACCGCGGCCCTCACGGACCACGTCGAAATTCTTCTAGCCATTCTTAAGCTGCAAGGCAGCGCCATCTCTTCGCGTTATAGGTAACCCACAATCTGCTGCCTGGTCCGCGTGAACTTTTTTCTAGTTATATTTTCTTTAGATTTAAACATCAAGCAGTTACATGCTTTAAAATAATAAAAATTATAACTATAAAGTTCCTTGTTTATTCAACAGCAAACCCCACACATGAAACCCATAATAATAATAATTTACCTGAACTTCTGATACGAATTTAACGGTTAACAATTTGCAATGAGGGCTATCGCGTATGAATCCGCCGCTAGAGGCGCTAGTGTAGCGTGAGGTCTCCGAAATGTCAAATGTTATTGCTTATTGGTTGACTACGTGGGTTTATTTCTTATTAAAATAATGTTGTGAATAATTGGTAACAATTCGGCTTAATTATGGCAAATATGAGTTATGTGGCAATGAATGTCAGTTATTAAAAATTTGAGCTTAGAAAAATGATTATGTTTCCATTTTTCCGAATAAAACGGAACTGCGCGTCACTGTGGCATGGCCTATTATGTTTAGGATATGGTTCTTTTGTGTTAAAATACGATCTAAATGCAACCTTTGATTTCATGTGCGTATTAATAAACTTTAAAAGTTACAATTTAGGACCTCGATCAACAGTGGCGCCATCTGGTGAGGCAGAAAACGGTAGCCCTCATTGCTAAGGTAACCTAAACTCGATACAACTTTACAAACGTTTTAATTGAACAGGAAAGTCATTCATGCATTGTTTGTAATTCACGTAATACCTACACTACACACATTATCAATCTATTCTCAGCATCCTGATAAACTAGTCATCGCGTGAACCGTGAGAATTCTCTTTTTCACCAACATACGGAAACTGCATAACTCGATGCAACGACAAAACAACGCATTACAATCAAAGGCAAGGTCCACTGAGCACAACACAAAGCAGCATTTTAAACGCCTATTAGAAACAGCCGGTTGATGGCTTATGAAAAACTAATGCTTAAAGATTTGTCTTACATTATTTTTTTCGCTGAATGTTAAAATGCACCGTAAGCGCGCGCGCGGTCAATGTTGAAGGGCGTTGACCTTTAATCAGCTAGAGCTGTTTTATTGCAAGAATAAAATAATTTAACTTAGATATAAATTTTGTTTTATTCAGCAGGAACTGTATCATGGAAGCTCTGTGACTCTGTTAACACTGGAATTAAAATGTCCCGTACATCGAAATCTATGCATATAATAAAATGGTAGGAAAGTCAAATTGAATATTTCAAAAAAAAAAGAATACTTGGGGTGTGATCTACAATCGATACCGAAGCCAAAAAAATAGTTTTTTGAATTTTTGTCTGTTTGTCTGTATGTATGTCCGGGATAATCTCAAAAGGTTCTGCATGGATTTACTTTAAATTTGGTACGAATATTATTAAGAATTCGGGTCAACATTTAGGCTATTATATTATCACGAAACTTCACCCCTAAAGGGGTAATTCGGGGGTTGGAAGTTTGTATGAAAGTCCTATGTTTTTGAAGTAAGAGACTTGAAATTTAACATGTATGCTCTATAGATGGTGTAGAGGTGTACTAATAATGTATCTTTAGATATAAAACGCCTTTTAGGGCCAAAAAGTATGTGCAAATAACTAACTCCACGCGTACCAAGTCGCGGGCGGCCGCCAGTAATAAATAAATGAAATATGTAATTTATTACATAATTATCTATTTTTCTTAATGAACTAGTAAAGAATGAAATAATTTATTACACTCAACATATAAATGCTACAAAATAACTCGAGCACGTCAAATTAACTAAAATTCCAAAATATGACTTTAATTTTTGATATTTTCAAAAGAACACTTGTAACTTGAAGTGAAAATAAATAATTTATTATTATAATAATTTATATATATAAAAAATATGGGTGCGTGTACTTAAGTACGCGCGTGAGAAGTTATACTTTTTTTTTGGAATTATTAAAAAATAGTTTTTAATTGCATGCAGATAATTAATTACAAAAAGATAATAAAAGGATTGGAAAAGGATAGTCAACGCAGTCAATAAAGTTCAGTTTTAATTTGAAAAATTTAATAAATAATCAAAGTAGTCAATTTAAATCACTACTGAATAAAATTTATTAGCACATATAAATTTCGCATTTGTATAACATTATAACACGTGTTAAGAATATAGAAACTAGAAACATGTGGATAAATATTATAAATATGAAAACAGTGATCAGAGGCGACGAGCGTCCCAACATGTGCGACTAAGATATCCTATTACTATTTTGTTGGAAGCTTTTTTTCGAGACTTACGAGTAATGTGCGGTTTAGCGGCCGACTTCATAGTGTTGCGCGCGCATCTTAAAATTTCACTCTCATCATTTTTTCATAACGCGCCCGCGGCTAACTTCATTATGTTACTTTTGTGTTACAGTGATGCGCGCGCATCTTAAAATTTCACTCTCATATTTTTTCATAACGCGGCTAAAGAAATATAACTTCAAAAGTGTACAGTTTTGCACGTAAAGTTGATCCACTCAGTACACAGTGTTTTTATGTGATAGTTTGATAAGATTACTGTACAAAAAGAAAAAAAAACCCAAGAGAAGCTGTTAGTACCTAGTTAGTTACAATAGAACAAAAAAATGGGCGAGGTCAGTCCGGACCCCGTCTATACAAGGTGTGATTCACTGATGGGGAGACTGGCACAATAGGGTTAGGTTCATCAAAAATGACATATTCGTTATGAGATTTATTTCGAAATATCTTTATAACTGGGATGATAAAGTTCATGAGTATGTATAATACGAGGTCATGTTTAAAATGTATGAGCATACAAAATCTTGTCGC